TTGCAATAAAATGTATAGTTTGACGTTCTTCGTCTATACTCAGCCATTAAAATCGTAAATTCGTAATCATGTTTTGATTCTTATTAATTGATAGTTTTTTGCTGAACAGAATTTGATTGAACTTGAATGAGTAATTTATTGCAGCAGGTTTTTGTTCGAGATAAAGCGGTCCATAGAATTAATTATATTTAGAGCGGGCAGGTAGCCGAGATTAGGTAGCCTACAAAAAATATCTAAAGTTATAATTTTACGTTTAAGGCACCCGGCTGGCTGTTTTAAACTTCCATTAAGTTATGAGTTAAGAATAAGTTTATGTTCTTAGGTAATAAATAAACTACATAACTATCACATACCTACCTTACCTTTATAGCAAGACACTTTGATGAATGAAAATGTTCATAGGAACTTTCGTCTCTTTACTTCTAAAGTCAAAGTCAAAGTCAAAATTTCTTTATTTGTTTGGACTAATAAATAGTTCTTACAAATCGTCATTTTGCTCTACATGTCTCATAATCTGGATTCAAACAGTAGCATGCATAACTAACCGCTCCCTTTGTTGATTGTGTTGTAAACCTTCTTGCACGTTCGTTATTCTATGGCGTCCTCTCCCCGCGCCCGCTGCATCCTCGCGCGGACGTTACTCCGAGACTTCGGCAATTTCTATCGACTACAGTCTACACTCACCTCAAGCTGTACCGGCTCAGCTGCACAACAATCCGCCGGCTTTGTGCCTCAATACGCGATCGATACGCACCGGCCGACCCTCAACACCGTAAAAGCAAATTACTTTTAATCACCATTCAGCACAAGAACGAACACGGCCGACCCGTTTCACAACAGTATTCCATGCCAGGCTCACACACACGTACAGTACACAACACTGTCAATATTCAATCCTCGGGGTGGTGCAGTTCAATCCATGTACAAAGTATAAACAAATAACACTGGTGATTCCACAGTAGAATACTAGCGTCAACGTAACACACGTCACGTCAGCGCCGATTCGAGTCGGCGGACGACCGCGGAACTCGGCGCGAGGAACGCTACGTGTCCCCCGGTCGAGGAGGGAGCGAGACGTGACTACGCAGCGGGAGGCGCGCGAGCGGGATGGAAAACTTTACGAAGCGGGAGGCATAAAATGCGAAGGGCTCGTGTACAGAGGGTACAATACAATCGTTGCTACAGACACTGCCTATCTTGGATTGATCCAGAGTGAATAGATAATGACTGTTGTAGCACTTGTGGCGGCCATCGGCAAGACCGCGGTCGCTCATTCATCAAAATAATTATCCAACAATTAAGCGTTGAGCCGGAGGTCGTTGCCGTTTCGCTCGCTATACTTACTCCACGCTTCACGGCCTCTATGCCAGAACTATAATAATGTTATTCAGTTTTTTTGGAGATAATTCGGTTCTTAAACCTGCTTATCTAAATCAAGATCTGCTTAATGATAACATTTCTGTCTAGTTATAATGTATTAGTGTCATGTTCGAGGTTACATTAGTAATAATGTTTTGCTGCTGTTTATCTAACTTAATGTTTTCTAAATAGGTACATACTGTTATTGGCAATTAACGCTTCCGTAGTTTTGTGGTTAGAGAATTGGACTCGGGGTCCCCCGGGGAGGTCTTGGGTTTGATTTATTAATCGAACCGAATTTCGATGGTTAACGGGTTAATTCGAAACATATGAGTACCTAGCTTATATATTTTTATTTTACCTGACTGCGCCAAAAGGAAAATTTTTTTCGAGCGCATAGGTACCTACAAGTAACTACCTATTATGTATTTCTTAGCCTTAGCCTCTACAGTTTGATGGATTTTAGCTTGAGCTGCTTTGTTCAAACGAGTCTTGTTGGTGGTGGTGCTCAGGATTTTCAAGTCAGGACTTTATGACAACTTGTTTCATCTTTCACACATCAATTGACTTTTATTGAAGTTGTGAAAGCACCAATTTTCATAGGTCTGTTTTTTGTTTTATCGAGTATAAACAATCGCGCTTCGGACATGGGCTCCTCCCACGCTTCAAGCTATTTCGGGCGCAGGGACGAGTACCTACAAATATGAGTGAATACTTTAAGAATAAGTATCTTACTTAATTTTTGACTTTGATACTATTACTTATGACCTTGGTACTATTACCTACTTATTCTGTGATTACGTGCTATAAGGAAAGTGCTGAAAATGGATATTACATGAAAACTTATAAGTTTCATATTATGAAACGCTTACCGAACTGCAGTATTAAACATTGCTCGCTTGCTACCATTTTGTTTAAAAACTTTATTACACACTTTACCAATAAATAAATAAATATAAAAGGCGAACTTAACGCCATATAGAATTCTCTTCCAGTTNCTTAAATCGATGTAATTTTTCGAGAAATGGGTCAGGCCCCAAATTTGAAGTATTTTTATCGATAAAATTGTCCCTAGATTTTGCCCTTAAAGTTTGATCACTACAAGCCCGGACACACTGTATAGATACTGTTACTGGCAATTAACGCTTCCGTAGTTTTGACTTTGTGGTTAGAGAATTGGACCCGGGGTCCCCCGGGGAGGTCTTGGGTTTGATTTATTAATCGAACCGAATTTCGATGGTTAACGGGTTAATTTGAAACATATGAGTAGCCTAGCTAGGGTTGCCAGGTCCAAAAACACAAAAGCCGGACTCTGTGCTTCATTTGGCCGGACATTTTACCCTAAAAGCCGGACATACCTTTTTAATAGTTAACGTACCATGTCGGGGGGGAGGGGTGCAATAAGCGTCATAGCTCATGAGTGGGTACTATCATCTTTGAATTAACATTATTCTGTGGCTCGAGTTTCGACTGGCGCGGCAGCCACATATAAAGCCTAACAAAAGCCGGACTGGCCGGACAAGACAATATTTGGCCGGACAAGCCCCTAAAAAGCCAAACATGTCCGGCTAAAGCCGGACGCCTGGCAACCCTAAGCCTAGCTTATCTATTTTTATTTTACCCGACTGCGCCAAAAGGGAAATGTTTTTCGAGCGCATACCTACAAGTACATAACTATTATGTATTTCTTAGCCTTAGCCTCTACAGCTTGATGGATTTTAGCTTGAGCTACTGTGTTCAAACGAGTCTTGTTGGTGGTGGTGCTCAGGATTTTCAGGACTTAATGACAACTTGATTCATCTTTCACACATCAATTGACTTTTATTGAAGTTGTGAAAGCACCAATTTTCATAGGTCTGTTTTTTGTTTTATCGAGTATAAACAATCGCGCTTCGGACAAGGGCTCCTCCCACGCTCCAAGCTATTTCGGGCGCAGGGACGAGTACAAATATGAGTGAATACCTACTTTAAGAATAAGCATCTTACTTAATTTTTGACTTTGATACTATTACTTATGACCTTGGTACTATTACTTATTCTGTGATTACGTGCTATAAGGAAAGTGCTGAAAATGGATATTACATGAAAACTTATAAGTTTCATATTAAATCAAAATCAAAAGTATTTATTCAGTTTAGACCACAAGTGGCACTTATGAACGTCAAAATTATTATAGAAAATGATAAAAAAAGAAAAGTTAGCCCTTATGGGGCACTTTACATGTCTCCTTATCTTTTGGGCCCTACCTACCCATTATGAAACGCATACCGAACTGCAGTACCACAGATAATATCAGTACTAAACATTGCTCGCTTGCTACCATGTTGTTTAAAAACTTTATTACACACTTTACCAATAAATAAATAAATAAATATAAAAGGCGAACTTAACGCCATATAGAATTCTCTTCCAGTCAACCTTTTTTCACTAACCGCGTAAAAGGCAGCCTCAGAAATAATGTTTGTTTACTTAATTTCTATAAATCTTTTTTAAACAGGTTTCTCTATCGTAACAGGTCAAACCCCTAGTTATCAGTCTTCCATGCCAATATAGGCGTCTGGGCCGGTGTATGGTAGGATCGCCCGAGGCGCCAAATTGTATCGGGATCGCCCTCCGTCTAGACCAGTCTTTCCCAAAGTGGGCGATAACGCCCCCTTGTGGGCGCTGCAGGCTTAAAGGGGGGCGATAAGAGACCCAGAAAAAAAATCGGGACGTTGTGTAGAGGCTTGGGAGGCGTCATCTACGAGGATGACTCTTAGACATCAACTGAGCTCGACTCTTGACTACAAAAATGGGGGGCGCTAAAAATAATTTATTCTCAAAGTGGGCAGTAGACTAAATAAGTTTAGGAACCACTGGTCTAGACCTTGCCCGCTCAGGGTTGCCATAAGCCGGACATTCCAGAGATCCGGGTAAATTAGTCACGAAATGAATACACATCAGTACATCACACCAAAACAAAGTTGGCTCTTGTAAATCGGCTACGATGTTGTTAAAAAAAAGTATTGAAGTGTAAAAAAAATCTTAGAAACGTGTAATTTCCAGAATAAAAAGTACTTTATCAACTATCTATGAAACAAAAAACAATAAAACCTTAGTTTTACAATTCCAGCGACGGAATTTAACTTAATTTCAGTAGCTTCATAGTTTGGCAAAATTAGCTCCATACCTACAAGAGCAGCAGGGAAGCGCTGGATGCAGGCCGCTACCAATCGATCAACGTGGAAAGCATTAGGGGAGGCCTATGTTCAGCAGTGGACGTCCTATGGCTGAAATGATGATGATGATGACCTACAAGAGCAACCCTTTGTCANTAACGTACCCCTTTGTCATTTGTATTTTTTAGTATGCGAAGATCATTTCTCAACTCTCAGGAAGTTCTTGTTGTTTTAGTAGCATTTTTATGTAAAAATGCATTGATAGACTGTTCATTTTTTTGTATCATGATTAATTGTGTAACTGAAACATAAAATAAATGTGCCTAATTAATATAAATTATAATATACGAATTATGCTGAAAGTTATGACGGTGATGGATGAGTGATTTGAGTTTACTTCAATTAAACATGATTAATGATTATGTAAAGTTGGTGTTTTGGAACAAAAATTGTATGTTTTGCTTTAAATAAATAAAACGCAGATAGAGCATATTTACATTTATTATTATTCTATTCTTCTTATCATAATATCTTAACGCAACATATATTTCGGGAGGAGTGAACTTGTCAGTGAGGGCTCCCAACTCACATAGATCAAATTACATTACACAAATTATATGCTACACCTTACAATAAATAAATTAGAATAATCTTGGAAGTAAAACCAAAACTTAAAGTCTATTTTTCAGTAACTATAAGTTCAGTTTGTACAAGAAGTTAGCAATATCCGACCTCAAGGGTCCTTGCTATCCCTTCCATGCGCTCTACTAGAGTGAGATATTAAGTTCCAGCTCTAAATTGGACTATTGAAAATATAACATATAGCTTATCATTAATTTGGTTTACGACTTTCGTGTCCTTGTTTTTAACATATTTAACACGAATCACTGAAAAAAAGCAAAGCTCATACTCACCAAAGGAATATGCATTATTTGACTCCATTATAAGCACAAGTTATAACGGCGGTTTAGACAATTTATTAAAAAGTAGAAAACTTAGTCATATCATTCTTCACAATAAATTTCAACTACACCATAAACTAATTGAATGTTGTCTTTCCACGTGTGTGACTTTTGCTCACTTCACTTGCAGTTAATTTTGCACTCTCATATCTCAATTTCATTATTACACAATACACATAATATAACACATATATCCCATTTGCGCAGCGGCGTAACATTATCATGCATATGGAAATTTCGGGGTTACAATCTTATAACAAATGGAAATAGTCAGTGACACTTAGGCGAATAGTGTTCGCTGTGAGCCACATTGGGTGTTACTTGAAAGATCCATATGCAAAAGGTATACCACCACTGAATAAATCACAGATTTCACGGACTCGGCTGCACCGTTATCTGTTGTGATATCACCGCGCGGCAAATACTAGGTACTTTAAGTTTCGCGCGACGATGTGGGAAATGCAACCTTAAAAGTATAAACTTAGGGTTGATGACGCGGGTCGTACGCTTACTGCGGCAGCAGAGGAACCTCTGGGTAGGTCTGCTCCTCGTCGGACGAATGGCCGCAAGCGTACGAAGGGCGGCCACTCTTGTCCCTCAGTCAGTACCTGCACCAATGTGACAAAGAAATAGTGTTAACTAAGAAAAAACAGAGCTCGTCCCGTGCAGAACATAATATCGCGCTTTGAGGCTCGATTTTATAATCTTTATTCCTTCTTAAAAACTGTCTAGTTGTGCCATGGAATGGAACTACATATTACGAATACTGAGTTTCTTCCACCACTTCTAGTATGTTTAGAACATATAGGGCATTCTTTCTTGAAAAGCCTCTACTTCATACAATAAGTCTAGCTCTTAACTGAGACACAGTACCAGTCACTAGACCTAATAATAAAGAATTTGAAATCAATATTAGCAGAGCTAGAGCATACTGAGTGAAAAATAATAATATTTGAAAATGACTCATTAAGTAAAATTTTTAAAACATCAAATTGTGCCCTTGTTTCTACAAAAGGTACGATATAAAGTTGCATCTAATGACTGATACTATAAGCAGCTAAGGTTAGTTAGTTAGATATCAATGTAGAAGAATCCCAACTAATATTATAAATGCGAAAGTAACTCTGTCTGTCTGTCTGTCTGTTACGCTTTCCCGCTTAAACCTCGCAACCGATTTTGATGAAATTTGGCATAGAGATAGTTTGAGTCCCGGGAAAGAACATAGGATAGTTTTTATCCCGGTTTTTGAAACAGGGACGCGCGCGATAAAGTTTTTCTGTGACAGACAAAATTCCACGCGGGCGAAGCCGCGGGCGGAAAGCTAGTATGCTATATTGAGTGTAAATAATAATTTGTTATTGTTTACCTTCGATATGAGTCGTGAGTCTCCCGGTCCGATTCTGCATAGGGTGCCCAGTGCGCCGGCGCCGCTTCGCCCTCGTCGCGCTCTGTGTTGTTTGTGCCTACAACAAATACAAGATCTTTAACATACCTTTAGACGCATGTTGTTGTTCTCATAAGTACTCCTACGCTATTGGGTACGGGTAGTACCCAACGTTATGTCTCATACGTTTTGGCGCGCTTTTAGCAGCTGACCGAATAATAAGCGCCAAGTATTGTTCAAACTTAAATGAAGACATTTCGTTTCATTGTTTCAATAATTAAAATTATGTGGTAGTAAACTAGCCGTTTTGTTATCCGACATTGACGAAGACTCCGCATGGTGTGTGTCACAATGATTGACGGCCAAGAAGTGGTTTGATTTTATTATCAAAATCACATACTCTGTTTACAAGTAAGTATTATGCCAGCTAGATCGATAAGACTTGTTGAACTGCGACTGATTGGGTTATTTGAAGGAAGCGAGGCTTCTTTCCATACAGACCTGATATCATGTCGATGAGACATATTTGTGTCAACATTATGTTAGACATCAAATTTACGAATAATCCGTGGGCAGAACGGCAGACTCGCAGTTAGAAGTGTTGGGACCATTATATGAGATCATATCTACCAAAGCGCGAAGACACTTTGCAATTGCAGGAAATATTCATAATCTCGAGAAGCTGCGAGATCGCAGCTTCTCGAGATTATCAAATATTGATAAGATTATCAAAATCAATTGCGATAGAACTGGATTAAAAGATGACTTACATCTTTTTTCGGGACTATTCCCACCTCTCGTTCCCACAACTGCAACTCCTGTGTAGCCAGGATCTACAGCTTGAACGTCAATAAAAACCCAACCAGTGAAGGTCAAGTTTGTCCCGGGGGAAAGTTAAACTGGGGGAAAGTCATTGGACTCGCAACGAAATTAATCAATTCCTCTGATAGGACATTGGTTCCCAAACTTATATGAGACGCGCCCCCTTTTTCAACCATACAAAAAATTCCAGTCAGATTATTTGTTGGTCGTATCGATCAGTCTGGAAAGCATTCTCTCAGCGGTCGCAGGTTTATACTTAGTACACAGATGGCCCGCGCCTCCCTTTTAAAGGTCTGCGCTTCCCCCCACTTTGGGAACCAATGATATAGGAGGAGTTCGAAGTTAAGGACTTACATCTGTCGACTGGTGTGATGGATAGGTGAGGATGTTCGGCCAGGGCGTCGGCATTGGGCTGCGGAGACGCGGGCGCGGCAGGCGAGCCGTCCCGGGACATTCGACGCCGGGACTTGGCTAAACAAGGAGAACATTGGGAGTAGGTTTCCATACTAACCTGTTAACGATGAAATGATACACGCAAGAAACTTAAGCGCCCAACGAAGATATAGCTAACAAAAACAGGATGGAGCCAATGGATGTGGATGATGCAGTCTGAAGGTGTAACAGCTGATGCACGTCGACAAATCACGAAATGACTTTGTGAAGGCAGGAAATATTCAATTCGCTGAACGACCCCTTCTTGTTTCAAATGAAAATCAGGATAAAAGATGGGTTTAAGATAGCAGATATGCCGAAAAGTTGCGTTCCTTCTTGTACATGTAATACAGTATTACAGTCAGATCATTAAAATCATGAAAGATGACTGAATATGGAATGGAGAGATACGAAATGATTTGAAGATGGCAGGAAATATACAATTAATTTGCCAAAAAGCTGCGTCTTATCCAAGTAGGAGAATAAAATAATGAAATCTTTACAGATGACTGTGGATTAAGATGACTTATATCTGTCAACCGGCGTGATGGATAGGTACAAAATGGCTCAATTTCAACAGAAAATATGCAATGTGCCGAACAGCTGAATACCTCTTGTTCAAATAAGACAATCAAACCATGAAAATGATTGCGGATGACTGTGATGCAACCATAAAGTTAATATTCCTTCGGAATAGAGCAACAACCACGAGCTGTCAAATGAAACCAATTTTGGAAGACACTGGATATCATATGTGTCAGTGTCAGGATTATTCTACTGTTTTGTACAATAAATCAATCATTGAACCAGTCACAAAGTTTCTGAAGCAACTTTTCTCATAAACATTCACGATTCCACACACGTTAAATCTCAAGAGTTTAAATTTTCAGAGTGCCAATAAGTACCTCCGAACTTTCAAATAGTTGCAAAAAACTTCTGTTTGACGTGACGGCGACGGCATCACGCATCTCTTTTTTAAATTATTATTACTGACGGGATTGCGACCATTTACCTTAATTTTAACCCGGAAAGCTGCAGTCCGCGAGGAATGGCGCCGTATTACGAGGAACATCACTCTGAATCGTGATTCAAAATGATGACCACGACCACTCTGACAAGAGTGTACCGACTGAGAAGAACCTTAATTTTGAGTTTCATCTCTTTTTAACCGACTTCATTATCACACAGTGTTCTTGCTAATGACATCTCGCTCGCTCAGTTCTTTGTTGCTCTATTCCTCTAGGCATCAACTGGCAACTGGATTACGATTACTTACATCTGTCAACGGGCGTGATGGACAGATGCGGGTGGTCGGGCAACGAGTCGGCGGCGGGTTGCGGCGAGGCGGGCGCTGGCGGCGACGGGCTGTCCAGCGAGATGACCGCGCCGGAACCGCCGCCGCCGGACTCGGTCGGCGACCGGTAGCCGCTGGACGACACTGCTTCTGCAAGACGAATAATATTTGTCACTAACATTCTCCTTATTTCTCCAATCTATATAAATAAAAATGAATTGATGTTCGTTAGTCTGATTAAAAATCGAGAACGGCTAGGCCGATTGAGCTGATTTTGGTTTTAAAATGTTTGTCGTAGTCCAGGGTGAGCGCATTCAGAGGGCAGCTCAAGATATTCNAATACCAAAAACGAAAAAGGGGGCGACCTTCAAAATATTAATTTAAACATTTCCATATAAAAATTATTGCTTCATACATTAAATTAACAAAGTTCTCGAAGAAATAAATTTTCCATATGTCTGCATTTTAAATGTTGTTTATCAATTTTTTACGTATTTATTCAAAATTTCGAAAAGGCGGCGACCTAGATCAAGGATTGGGCTACCCTACACAAGTTCCTTTGATGTATTTAAGTCACTAATCGCAGAGCACTCGTGATTTAAAAATATGTAAATTTTAAGGATTCTGTGCAGGACCCCCTTAAGAATAACGAATAAAATAAAAATAAATGTTGAGCTCCATACAAAAAAAAAGGAAATTGTCAATAACTTATTAAATAATAACTTTATCAAGAAACGTTACATAACATAAAATATTCCTTTTTGGTAAAGGAACACATTGGCATATTTATTTTTTCAAAATTCGGCACTTGAATTTTGAGCGACGCTAAGTCTATGAAGCTCTAATATCAGCCCACCGTGCCGCGCCCCCCTTTAAAGGTCTGCGCTTCCCCCCACTTTGGGAACCAATGATATAGGAGGAGTTCGAAGTTAAGGACTTACATCTGTCGACTGGTGTGATGGATAGGTGAGGATGTTCGGCCAGGGCGTCGGCATTGGGCAGCGGCGACGCGGGCGCGGCAGGCGAGCCGTCCCGGGACATTCGACGCCGGGACTTGGCTAAACAAGGAGAACATAGGGAGTAGGTTTCCATACTAACCTGTTAACGATGAAATGATACACGCAAGAAACTTAAGCGCCCAACGAAGATATAGCTAACAAAAACAGGATGGAGCCAATGGATGTGGATGATGCAGTCTGAAGGTGTAACAGCTGATGCACGTCGACAAATCACGAAATGACTTTGTGAAGGCAGAAAATATTCAATTCGCTGAACGACCCCTTCTTGTTTCAAATGAGAATCAGGATAAAAGATGGGTTTAAGATAGCAGACATGCCGAAAAGTTGCGTTCCTTCTTGTACATGTAATACAGTCAGATCATTAAAATCATGAAAGATGACTGAATATGGAATGGAGAGATACAAAATGACTTGAAGATGGCAGGAAATATACAATTTGCCAAAAAGCTGCGTCTTATCCAAGTAGGAGAATAAAATAATGAAATCTTTACAGATGACTGTGGATTAAGATGACTTACATCTGTCAACGGGCGTGATGGACAGATGCGGGTGGTCAGGCAGCGAGTCGGCGGCGGGTTGCGGCGAGGCGGGCGCTGGCGGCGACGGGCTGTCCAGCGAGATGACCGCGCCGGAACCGCCGCCGCCGGACTCGGTCGGCGACCGGTAGCCGCTGGACGATACTGCTTCTGTAAGGTAAATTGTAAGTTAGAGAAGTAAGTAAAATGTTAATTCTTTTTAGGGTTATATAGAAATTAAAATTCAAATCTTTATTGCGTACTAAGTAACAATTATTGTAGTGGTGGAAATTACATACACATGGGCTTAAGACTTAGTGACATTAAGCTGGGTTTGCCCTAAATAACTCAACAAAAACATGTCAACATTCAACATTTTCTGTACACAATTTTGTTGAATGTTGACACGATTTTGTTGAATGTGTAGGGCCAAAACACACACTGTAATCCCGGCTTCATTTGAAACTTATTCACACGAAGGCGAAAGCAATGAATTTTTTGAACACTTAGGGTTAAAATACAAGTGGACATATTCCTTAGATCATTATCTTCTTTACCGAGTACCAGATAAGTGAAACTAAAAAATCAAGTCAAAAGTAAGTACCTGAGTAGAATTCTGCGGAGTAGCGCGGAAAGGGTAACCATTGACGTACCAGAGAAATTACATAGATTGTACGTAGCATAAACAAACCCTCTTGCATTGCTCCACTACCATAAATTCCTACTCAGTCAGTTATATGCTATGTCTGTAATAATAGCTCACTGCGATGGGAGTATTCTCCTTGGTAATCAATTGACAGAAAAAAAAAAGTTTATTCAGTATCACAATCACACATACATAATTTACAATTTAATAATTAAATAAAATTTGTTGATCTTGTGTCAGTACTGACCTGAGTTAGAGAACGTCTCATCAGTCTTGATGGCAGTCTCGGGCGCCGGCGGCGTGGCTTTAGGCGCCGGCACTTTCCTCTTGAGAGGCAGCTCGTCCTCCGAATCCGACGTGAGGTCCACCACGGCCTCCGTAGCTTTGGGCGCTCGGGTCTCGCCGACGGCGGCTCGCTTGGCACCGCCGCTGCTACCGCCTTCCACCGGTATTACGTCTGTGGGAGAAATAAATGTGAGGATAGAGGAAAGAAATAGCGTGAGGACTTGATTAGGTGTTCTATGTGTGATGATTCGTAAACAGCTCTTCCTCATCGGGTTTTAAGGTTGTTCAAATGCTTGAGAGCTTAAGCCTTCAGAAACTTGTCAATTAACCGTCAAGACAAAGTAACATTTGTGTTAAATTCAATTTCGCAATCACTTTACAGAGCGGGGATCGGTTACGGCAGCTAATCTGATATAATATTGCGAAGTCGAAGTATCTTGACAGCGATCAGAGTGCTTGGAACTCAGTGGCGACAGCACATTAGTGGCGTAGCGAAGATGATGAAGAGAAGATGTATGTAGCTCAGTAGCAGCAGTCATCAGCTCTATGATGCAGTGGAGGCGTAGCATGGGTTGGCACCCGGGGCGATCACCCCCCCATCCCCCCGTCATAAGTCCAAAGGCACCCCCTGGTACCCCCCAGGATTTTGCGCCAGTGAGTACTAATCTGCGCGACTTGTGTCACCCCCTGATGCTTGGCACCCGGGGCGGGCGCCGCTAGTGCTATGATGCCGTTCAGACGTATTCAGTCCGTTAGCCCAGCTATGTATGGGCACACTCACCCAGGTCGTTGGCAATAAGCGTGACGAGCTCGGACGCATCCCAGCTCCCATCCGCGTGCAGTTGACTCTCGTGACACTAGCTGCCAGCCCATGCCACTTCTGATTAATTTCGTTGCGGGTCCAATGACAGTTTAACTTTCCCCCGGGACAAACTTGACCTTCATTGGTTGGGTTTTTATGGCGGTCAAGCTGTAGAACCTGGCTACACAGGAGTTGCAGTGGTGGGAACGAGAGGTTAGAATAGTCACGTTAGCTACCAGTCTAGCTATGAGCCCACTCACCCAGGTCGTCGGCGGTAAGCTTGACGGGCTCAGACAGCACCCATCTGCGTACAGCTGACTCGTCACACTAGCTGCCAAACACTGGTTGGGTCTAGCTGTAGATCCTGGAGTAGTTCTGTTAGCTAATAGTTCAGCAGTGGGCAACTCACCCAGGTCGTCGGCAATAAGCGTGACGGGCTCAGACGTGGGCTGTAGCGGCACGGGCGCGCGGCGCGTGCGCGGTCCAGCTCCCATTCGCTTACAGCTGACTCTCGTGGCACTAGCTGCCAGCCCAGCAGTGGGCAACTCACCCAGGTCGTCGGCAATAAGCGTGACGGGCTCGGGCGTGGGCTGTAGCGGCGCGGGCGCGCGTGCGGGCGGCGCGTGCGCGGACCAGCTGCCGTCCGCGTGCAGTTGGATCTCGTGACACTAGCTACAGCCCAGCAGTGGGCAACTCGTTGGCAATGGGCGGGACGGGCTCGGGCGTATCTCAGCTCCCGTTCGAGTGCAGTTGACTCTTGTGACACTAGCTACAGTCCAGCAGTGGGCCACTCACCCAGGTCGTCGGCGATGAGCGTGACGGGCTCAGACAGCACCCATCTGCTTACAGCTGACTCGTCACACTAGCTGCCAAACACTGGTTGGGTCTAGCTGTAGATCCTGGCTCAGGAATAGTTCTGTTAGCTAACAGTCCAGCAGTGGGCCACTCACCCANACTTGAGTAATGATGATTCTTTCTTGCAAATTTTAATTTAAAATGTCAATCTTATTATTTAGCTATACGAATACAACAAAAAAGTTAACATTATTCCGTATTCTTCATTGCAAGGGTACATTTTAACATAAAAACTGGAGATTTTTAAAAAAATACTTAAATCTCGAATAACTTGGAAATGAACAAGTTTCGGACATGGTGTCATATGACTTAAATGACTGCAAATAAGCTCTACTTTAACCCCTTTCAAGGAATGTATCGCTTTACCTGTCACCCTGTATAATAGCTCACTGCGATGGGAATATTCTCCTTGGTAATCAATTGACAGAAAGAAAAACTTTATTTAGTATCACAATCACACATACATAATTTACAATTTAAAAGTATTTACTACGTCTTCCATGATCATGTGTCAGTACTGACCTGAGTTAGAGAACGTCTCATCAGTCTTGATGGCAGTCTCGGGCACCGGCGGCGTGGCTTTAGGCGCCGGCACTTTCCTCTTGAGAGGCAGCTCGTCCTCCGAATCCGACGTGAGGTCCACCACGGCCTCCGTAGCTTTGGGCGCTCGAGTCTCACCGACGGCTGCTCGCTTGGCACCGCCGCTGCTACCGCCTTCCACTGGTATTACGTCTGTTGGAGAAATAAATGTGAGGATAAAGGAAAGGAATAGTGTGAGGACTTGATTAGGTGTTCTATGTGTGATGATTCGTAAACAGCTCATCCTCATCGGATTTTAAGGTTGTTCAAATGCTTGAGTGCCTAAGGGCCTTCAGAAATTAATTAACCGTCAAGACAAAGTAACATTCGTGCTAGATTCAATATCGGTATCGCTTTACAGTGCGCGTATTGGATACGGCAGCTTAGTATTCCAAGTCGAAGTATTTTGGGGGCGATCAGATGCTTATAAGTTGTGGCGGCAGAGCTTCGGTGGCGATCAGGGTGCGTTAGCGAAAAGAAGCATGTAGCTCAGTAGCGGCTGCGCTCATCAGCTCTACGGTGCTGATCAGACGTATACAACTCATTGCACTAAACGGAACTATCCCACCTCTCGCCACCGCTGCAACTTCTGTGCAGCCAGGATCTACAGCTTGACCGCCAATAAAAACCCAACCAGTGTAGGTCATTGCACTAGCTGCAGCTCAGCAGTGGGCCCACTCACCCAGGTCGTCGGCGATGAGCGTGACGGGCTCAGGCGCAAACAGCGACCGTCCGCGTGCAGCTGACTCTAGCAGCTACCAGTCCAAACTTGACCTTCACGGGTTGGGTTTTTATTGGCGGTCAAGCTTTAGATCCTGGCTACACAGGAGTTGCAGCAGTGGGATAGTCCCGTTAGCTAATAGTCCAGCTATGGGCCCACTCACCCAGGTCGTCGGCGATGAGCGTGACGAGCTCGGACGGATCCCAGCTTCCATCCGCGTGCAGCTGACTCTCGTGGCACTAGCTGCAAGCCCAGCAGTGGGCCACTCACCCAGGTCGTCGGCGATGAGCGTGACGGGCTCAGGCGTGGGCTGTAGACGCGCGGGCGAGCGGGCGGGCGGCGCGTGCGCGGACCAGCTGCCGTCCGCGTGCAGTTGGATCTCGTGACACTAGCTGCAAGCCAAGCAGTGGGCAACTCACCCAGGTCATCGGCGATGAGCGTGACGGGCTCGGGCGCATCCCAGCTTCCATCCACGTACAGCTGACTCGTCACACTAGCTACCAAACTTGACCTTCATGGGTTGGGTTTTTATTGTCGGTCAAGCTGTAGATCTAACTACACAGGAGTTGCAGCGGTGGGTAATAGTCCCGTTAGCTAACAGCCCAGCAGTGCCGTCCGCGTGCAGGTGGATCTCGTGGCACTAGCTACAGTCCAGCAGTAGGCCACTCACCCAGGTCGTCGGCGATGAGCGTGACGGCAAGCGGACTCGTCACACTAGCTACCAAACTTGACCTTCATTGGGTGGGTCAAGCTGTAGATCCTGGCTCGGGAGTTGCAGCGGTGGGAGTAGTTCCGTTAGCTAACAGTCCAGCTATGAGCCCACTCACCCAGGTCATCGGCGATGAGCGTGACGGGCTCAGACAGCACCCATCTGCTTACACAGCTGACTCGTCACACTAGCTGCCAAACACTGGTTGGGTCTAGCTGTAGATCCTGGCTCAGGAATAGTTCTGTTAGCTAACAGTCCAGCAGTGGGCCACTCACCCAGGTCATCGGCGATGAGCTTGACGGGCTCAGGCGCATCCCAGCTCACATCCGAGTGCAGCTGACTCTCGTGACACTAGCTGCAGCCCAGCAGTGGGCAACTCACCCAGGTCGTCGGCGATGAGCATGACGGGCTCAGACAGCGCCCATCTGCGTACAGCTGACTGACCTTCACTGGTTGGGTTTTTATGGCGGCTAAGCTGTAGATCCTGGCTACACAGGAATTGCAGTGGTGGGAACGAGAGGTGGGAGTCTCGTAGCTACAGCCCACTATATCTCGTGGCACTAGCTGCCAGCCCAGCAGTGGGCCACTCACCCAGGTCGTCGGCAATAAGAGTGACGGGCTCGGGCGTGGGCTGCAGCGGCGCGTGCGCGGACCAGCTGCCGTCCGCGTGCAGCTGACTCTCGTGACACTAGCTGCAAGCCCAGCAGTGGGCAACTCACCCAGGTCTTCGGCGATAAGCTTGATGGGCTCAGACAGCACCCATCTGCTTACACAGCTGACTCGTCACACTAGCTGCCAAACACTGGTTGGGTCTAGCTGTAGATGGGCGTGGGCTGTAAGGGCGCGGGCGGCGCGTGCGCATCCCAGCTCCCATCCAGCTGGTTCTCGTGACACTAGCTACCAGCCCAGCTGTGGGCAACTCACCCAGGTCGTCGGCAATAAGCGTGACGGGCTCGGGCGTGGGCTGTAGAGGCGCGGGCGCGCGGGCGGGCGGCGCGTGCGCGGACCAGCTGCCGTCCGCGTGCAGCTGACTCTCGTGGCACTAGCTGCAAGCCCAGCAGTGGGCAACTCACCCAGGTCGTCGGCGATGAGCGTAACGGGCTCGGGCGGATCCCAGCTTCCATCCGCGTACAGCTGACTCGTCACACTAGCTACCAATCTTGACCTTCAGGGTTTTTATTGTCGGTCAAGATGTAGATCTAACTACACAGGAGTTGCAGCGGTGGGTAATAGTCCCGTTAGCTAACAGCCCAGCAGTGGGCAACTCACCCAGGTCGTCGGCGATGAGCGTGACGGCAAGCGGACTCGTCACACTAGCTACCAAACTTGACCTTCACTGGTTGGGTCAAGCTGTAGATCCTGGTTCAGGAGTTGCAGCGGTGGGAGTAGTCCCGTTAGCTGCCAGTCCAGCAGTGGGCCACTCACCCAGTTCGTCGGCAATAAGCGTGACGGGCTCGGGCGCATCCCAGCTCCCATCCAGGTGCAGTTGACTCTCGTGACACTAGCTACAGCCCAGCAGTGGGCAACTAACCCAGGTCGTCGGCGATAAGAGTGACGGGCTCAGGCGTGGGCTGTAGAGGCGCGGGCGCGCGTGCGGGCGGCGCGTGCGCATCCCAGCTCCCATCCAGCTGGCTCTCGTGACACTAGCTGCAAGCCAGGCACCTGCACCCAGGTCGTCGGCGATGAGCTTGATGGGCTCAGTCAGCACCCATCTGCGTACAGCTGACTCGTCACACTAGCTACCAAACTTGACCTTCACTGGTTGGGTCAAGCTGTAGATCCTGGCTCAGGAGTCGTTCTGTTAGCTAATAGTCCAGCAGTGGGCAACTCACCCAGGTCGTCGGCAATAAGCGTGACGGGCTCGGGAGTGGGCTGCAGCGGCGCGGGCGCGCGTGCGGGCGGCGCGTGCGCGGACCAGCTGCCGTCCGCGTGCAGTTGGATCTCGTTGCACTCGCTCGCCAGCCGCGACGACGTCAGAACCTCTTGGAAGTACCTGCGGATTTGCGGTACACATAAAGATAGGAAGGCAGATGAGATAACGACAGTAAGGAAGGCTGTAAAGATTATAAAGCTCAAGGGGCACGGCTGGAAATCATTACGGTCATAGCGATATACATACATATTACCGATGGTCTTCTATTTTAGGAGAAAAATTTATCTACAGTAGAATCCCGATTATCCGGATCAATTAAAATCAGGGGTGTTCCGGATAATCGAAAATCCGGATAATTTCAAAGCAAAATCAAACAATAATTAACTTTTTACAATAGAACTAGTTTTCAATACATCATTTTAGACCATTGGATGAATCCATTTCTTATAACAATGAACCAAGACGACGTTTGTACCGTGTTACGTGGCGGCGCCTTGCCGTTTTGATGGGTCCAGACCCTAAATCGGTAATAAGAACCGTGAAGAATGAGTTCGGATAATCGGATATCCGGATAATCGAAGTCCGGATAATCGAGATTCTACTGTATTATACAACATGTAGATGTGGGGCGACATCAAATATGATGGAATAACCTAACCTACGAGAGGAACATTGACAATAACTGACCAAATTAATTATTTAGCTGTGCGCGTTAACGATGTGACTAATTGCTTTCGAGTGTTTGTCGACCATACGAGTATAAAGGTGCAATCACGATGGCGTAAGAACGCTACGCGGAAACTCCAAGACAGAAGACCGTGACTGCTTTTAAGCTTTTTATAGGTCGCCAGCTGACCAAGAAGCGCGCCGTGATAAAATCTTATCGATGATTTTGGAGAACAAATGGCTTATCTTGCAAAATCGATAAAAATTAGACCAACAGGACATAATAATATCTAAAATAAATCAGCCGTATTACTTACCCATCAACCACCAGCGAGTCATACGGCGCAGGCCTATCGCAAACGGGGCACAGCCACGTCGGTTTCCGCTCATTCATTTGCAGGAACAGCGACGCGTCGAAGCACTGAAGATGAGGACAGTTGGCCGGCCGGCAAGGACAGGCCATCCGCATCTTGCCCAGCGGACACATCAGCGATACGCGGAGCGAAGTGGTGGCTATCTCGCTGTCGTAGTCCTCAGATAGCTTCTCTTTGACTGGAAGGAGATTGGTAATGTCATCAGTAATCTATATCTATAAAAAAAAGCGAAAGGTCACTGACTCACTCATCACGAAATCTCAGAAGCTACAAGTGCTGGGAGTCTCAGCATGGGGTTTCTTTTTAGAACATGCTCAATAAGAACAGATTTTACGAAAGTCCACTAAGGGGGTAAAATGGGATACAAGCGTACGAAGTCGCGGGCGGCCGCTAGTACGTATTAAAAACAGGCTCGATTATAGTTGTGGCTGTGTGTGTAATGAATAATGATGGTCAGAGGCATATTTGCAATTTTGCGTCGCAAGCGTACCGTTAGGTTTATTCCACTTAGTTCACCTGGGTGATATCACCTGAATGAACAAAGTAGATTTTTTATTGTCCTCATTTCACTTCGGAACCATTTCACCCAGGTAAACATCTTCTGTGTGACGTTATCATACACATTTGTACNTCGGCGATAAGCTTGATGGGCTCAGACAGCACCCATCTGCTTACACAGCTGACTCGTCACACTAGCTGCCAAACACTGGTTGGGTCTGGCTGTAGATCCTGGCTCAGGAATAGTTCTGTTAGCTAACAGTCCAGCAGTGGGCCACTCACCCAGGTCATCGGCGATGAGCGTGACGGGCTCAGGCGCATCCCAGCTCACATCCGAGTGCAGCTGACTCTCGTGACACTAGCTACAGCCCAGCAGTGGGAAACTCACCCAGGTCGTCGGCAATAAGCGTGACGGGCTCGGGCGTGGGCTGAAGCGGCGCGGGCGCGCGTGCGGGCGGCGCGTGCGCGGTCCAGCTCCCATTCGCTTACAGCTGACTCTCGTGGCACTAGCTGCAAGCCCAGCAGTGGGCAACTCACCCAGGTCGTCGGCAATAAGCGTGACGGGCTCGGGCGTGGGCTGTAGCGGCGCGGGCGCGCGTGCGGGCGGCGCGTGCGCGGACCAGCTGCCGTCCGCGTGCAGTTGGATCTCGTTGCACTCGCTCGCCAGCCGCGACGACGTCAGAACCTCTTGGAAGTACCTGCGGGTTTGTGGTACACATTAAGATAGGAAGTCAATGAGGGCTATCGTTTTAGCGCTCACCAGTTAGCGCCACTGTAGAGTAAGGCCCTGTCACTTGCTAGTAGCGAAGACAGTGGCACCATCTGGTGAGCGCTAAAGTGGTAGGAGGACTATCGCATTTGCACTCATCAAGATGGCGCCACTGTAGAGTAAGGTCCTGTCAATCGCCAGGGGTGCCAACTGTTAAGTATAAAAACGATAGCCCTCATTGAAAGAACTAGAATAAGGATTACTAAGCCCAAGTGGCAAACAAAGGGCTGCACGTCATCGTGATTATTTGTATATTTATTAGAGGCATCTTACATACAGTGTGGCCTTGCATAATTACAATTTTTGTTATAAAAAAATATGAACTGATATACTTTCTATGAACAACTCCATGTCATCCCTTCTGGGGTTGTAGTTTATGCAGGGCCAGTGTACAGCGATATCCTTTTGGCAAATTATTTTTTTCAAAACCGGTGTCCTTTGGGGAGTATTATTTTAGAATTTTCGCGTTTTGAAAGGGTAAAGCAAGAGGCATTCCAGTAACATAGAACGTGGACATACGGATGACGTTTACTGACAAGTATGAGTTCAGGGACATCGACAGAGAACTCCTTAGCTACTACTTACCCCTACCAACTTATCTGTTCACATTATAAAAGAAGTGGCAACTCGAAAGAGTATTTTAACAGTATAAAGTAGTCATAACAAAGGCAGCGGTATCCTAAACTACCTAGACAACAACAGGCAGTGTGACCAGTACTTTTATAGGATATACATAATATCTAAATAAATCAGCCACTTACCCATCAACCACCAGCGAGTCATACGGCGCAGGCCTATCGCAAACGGGGCACAGCCACGTCGGCTTTCGCTCATTCATTTGCAGGAACAGCGACGCGTCGAAGCACTGAAGATGAGGACAGTTGGCCGGCCGGCAAGGACAGGCCATCCGCATCTTGCCCAGCGGACACATCAGCGATACGCGGAGCGAGGTGGTGGCTATCTCGCTGTCGTAGTCCTCCGATAGCTTCTCTTTGACTGGAAGGAGATTGGTAATGTCAGTAATCTATAATATTATTATACATAAAGCTCGATTCTATATCTATATAATCCAAAGGTCACTGACTCACTCATCAAGAAACTACAAGTGCTGGGAGTCTCAAATTTTGCATGGGGTTTCCTTTTAGAACATAGGTGCTCAATAAGAACAGATTTTATACATAGGATACAAACAAGCAAGCGTACGAAGTTGCGGGCGGCCGCTAGTACGTATTAAAAACAGGCTCGATTATAGTTGTGGCTGCGTAATGATGGTCAGAGGGATATTTGCAATATTGCGTCGCAAGCGTACGGCGTACCGTTAATACAACGCAGTAGCACGCAAAATACCACGTCTTACACTTGCGGTGACAGGAGATAAGTTTAGACACATTTCATCATCATCATTTCAGCCATAAGACGTCCACTGCTAAACATAGGCCTCCCCCAGTGATTTCCACAATGGCCGGTTGGTGGCGGCCTGCATCCAGCGCCTTTCTGCTTTCACCTTTATGTTATTTGATTAAGCAATAAACATAACATACTTCTTTATCATCAGAGTAAAATATGCTAGATGCTGTAAACCGTGAAATTGAACGGCTGACGTCATCTGCTGCACCATAAAAGTAAGATAACATAGTCATCTTAGTATGTCACATGGATGGTATGAGCTTTGTCACACCTCTGTAGAAGCCAGCGTTGCCAGTTTTTTTTTTTCGCCAAGTCGGGACTTTGGTACTTTTTGAGTGAAAATAGCGGGATTCTTCCGTCAGAAGCGGGACATAGTAAAAAAACGTATATAATCAAAGGTTTTCAAATATTTATCCTTTTATTTGACTTAAAATTACGTTTACGTACGTTACGTCACGCAATAGATAGCAAAAGTAGCCATAGAAAATGTATTTTAACAAAAAAGAAAAGCGGGACAGAGCCTGTCCCGCGCGGGACATTTAAATTTGATTTAAAAATCGGGACGTCCCGCCAAAATCGGGACGTCTGGCAACGCTGGTAGAAGCACACAGGTGTATAGGTCATTTCATCCACAAAGACGCGCACCACCAATTTTTGGTCGAGGGAAGCGCGGGGTGCGGAGAGTTTGATCCGAGCAATCCGAGCGTCATTATTGTAGTGTGCGTGTGCACTCATGGATGATTTAGCGTGTACCGATAACACTCAAATATTAGCGGAAGAATGGTGAGTCGCGTCTACGTGGATAAAACGATCTATACTCACTCAGCGAGCGCGTGTAGTCCGGGTTCTTGGTGCCTTTGTTTTTAAGCCTCTGCAGCAGCTCAGCTGACGTCAGCTTGCGCACCATGAACACGCTGACGACATACGCCCGCGTGAAGTCCGCCGNTGAGCTGTGACGTCATGAGGCACAGGTGTACTCACTCAGCGAGCGCGTGTAGTCCGGGTTCTTGGTGCCTTTGTTCTTGAGCCTCTGCAGCAGCTCAGCTGACGTCAGCTGCCCACGTCACTTGGATGGTATGAGCTGTGACGTCATGAGGCACAGGTGTACTCACTCAGCGAGCGCGTGTAGTCCGGGTTCTTGGTGCCTTTGTTCTTGAGCCTCTGCAGCAGCTCAGCTGACGTCAGCTTGCGCACCATGAACACGCTGACCACATACGCCCGTGTGAAGTCCGCCGCCCACGTCACGTGGATGGTGTTGGCGACTGTAGGTGACAGCTTGACAAGGGACGAGATGTTGACAGGCCGCGGTGGCCGCTTCGGCTCTGGTGTCGGTTTGTTTGTTGGTATCGGATTCTGGGGACAATTTGAAACACTAATGAATTTCATAGAGTAGGTTTGTAAATAAAAAAATATAATTTCGCGACTTTAGGAGGATGAAACTAGAATAGCAATAAGCGACATTTTGATTTGAATATCACTCGAATTAATTAACTATCTTTGTGCAAAGAGAAAAATATCGTATTTGAAAGATACTTACTGGCAGTGGACACATTTTGTTGTTTACTTTAACATTAACACTAGGTGGGAAGTAATCTTCTTGCTCGCATGATGTCTCCAATAGACAAAATCTCAGTTGCGCCTGAAACAAAACATTTATTTAAATGTACTGCGAGTTTCATAGAAAAATTACAATTATTGTGTAATGTTTGCATAATGATACTTGTCTAGTGTAAGGCCGTATACAGAGAGAAAGTTGGAACTTATAAGCGCTTACCGGCGCTTGACAGCGCTGGTAACCCGCGCAGGAAAATATATGAACGCGCGCCGATAAGCACTGAACGGCGCCGACAAGTTTCAACACGCGCTGGTCAGCGCTGGACACTGCCATTTAAAATGCCATTCAACTTGCTTCCTTTGTGTAGAACGGACCAGCGCTGACAAGGCTGGTAAGCGCTTATAAGTTTCCAGCTTTCTTTCTGTATACGGCTTAAGGCACTAAGTTTGATCAGAACGGAGTCGGTTTCATGCATTAGTATGCAATTGCAACATGTCAGCTATCACGACACGACATAACATATCAGACAAATATAAATCCACCTTTACTTGCTCACATTTACCGCAATAAAGTAATCCTTATTTTTATTCTCACCTGTATGACAAAGTCTAGCTTGTTGCTGGGTCCGACCAGGTCCTTCCCCGATGCGATCTCGGTGGCCTGCTGAGGCGTCAGGTGGAAGATGTACGTGCCCTCCTGCAGTCGGCCCGCCTGCATCGGCATCATGGTGGAAGGCTTCATCAGCTCCGCCATCACGTCGTAGAACGGCAGTCTGGTGGAATTATTAGCTGTTAGCACCCAGGTTATTTAGTCTACACTGCAGGAAAAAGACAAAGGCCTCTCCCAAGGATTTCCACAAAGACCGGTCCTGCTCCCGCAATCTTTACCAGTTCGTCCACCTAGTGCAGCGGTTCCCAAACTTATTTTGTCTACTGCCCACTTTGAGAATAAATACTTTTTAGCGCCCCCATTTGTAGTAAAGTGTCGAGTGCTCAGTTGGTATCTAAGAGTCCTCCTAGTAAATGACGCCTCCCAAGCCTCTAGACAACGTCCCGATTTTTTTTCTGGGTCTCTTACCGCCCCCCTTTAAGCTTGCAGCGCCCACAAGGGGGCGTTATCGCCCACTTTGGGAAAGACTGACCTAGTGGGATGCCTGCCCACACTACGTCTTTCGGCACGTGGTCACCACTCGAGAACTTTTTTGCCCCAGTGGACATCAGCTCTGCGAGCTATGTGCCCCGCCTACTGCCACTTGATTTTAGCGATTCTGCGGGCTATGTCGGTCACTTCAGTTCTCCTGCGGATCTCCTCATTTCTGATTCGATCACGCAGGGAAACTCTATCGCTTATTGAGGTGACCTTGAGCCTTCTTATGAGGCCCATGGCCCATAGTCTAGCCCTCGCAATTTACCAGAGGCTAATAGAGGATTTGGCTTACAATCCTCACACTGGCCAAACAGGTTGGGGGAGGCTTAATGTTCGTGTTCGCTGGGAGGGTTTGGAAATGCAAAGAACAGTTTTTGGGCCAAAGGGAGCGGAACGTTGGAGCATATTATTTTTGTTGGCCAGCACTTTCAGGAATGCCCCAATGCGGTTAAATAAGAAACTTACTTTTTGAACTTGACGTCGGGGTGTACAGGGAAAGGCGGCATTTGCGTGGAGGGCGAGAGCGAAGGTGCCCGTAGTGGTACATGCCGCCCGTGTACATCAGGTTCTACCGCGCCTGCGGGTGTACTTACTAACCTACTTGCAGAAATAAATGACGTACGACTTACTTTTTGAACTTAACGTCGGGGTGTACAGGGAAAGGCGGCATTTCCGTGGAGGGCGAGAGCGATGGCATCGAGGTCAGTGCCCGTAGTGGTACATGCCACCCGCGTATACACGCCTGCAGGTGTACTTACAAGATTATTTCCAGAAAATAAGTGACTTTTAAGACTTACTTTTTGAACTTGACGTCGGGGTGTACAGGGAAAGGCGGCATTTGTGTAGAGGGCGAGAGCGACGGCATCGACGTCAGCGCCGCGCTGCCCGCGCCGTGCCCGTAGTGGTACATGCCGCCCGCGTACATTGGATTCTGCCGCGCCTGCGGGTGTACTTACTAGCCTACTTGCAGAAATAAATGACGTACGACTTACTTTTTGAACTTGACGTCGGGGTGTACAGGGAAAGGCGGCATTTGCGTGGAGGACGACAGCGAAGGCATCGAGGTCAGCGCCGCGCTGCCGGCGCCGTGCCCGTAATGGTACATGCCTCTCGCGTACATCGGGTTTTACCGCGCCTGCGGGTGTACTTACTAGCCTACTTGCAGAAATAAATGACGTACGACTTACTTTTTGAACTTAACGTCGGGGTGTACAGGGAAAGGCGGCATTTGTGTAGAGGGCGAGAGCGACGGCATCGACGTCAGCGCCGCGCTGCCGGCGCCGTGCCCGTAGTAGTACATGCCGCCCGCGTACATCGGCTCTGCCACTCCTACTGCTGTACTTAAAAGCCTACTTTCAGTTGAAATAAATGACGTACGACTTACTTTTTGAACTTAACGTCGGGGTGTACAGGGAAAGGCGGCATTTGCGTGGAAGGCGAGAGCGAAGGCATCGACGTCAGCGCCGCGCTGCCCGCGCCGTGCCCGTAGTGGTACATGCCGCCCGCGTACATCGGGTTCTGCCGCGCCTGCGGTTGTACTTCTGTCTCATTTTACCCGGCGAGTGCAGTAGTGTTGCCGCGTTATGGATAATCGAATTTTTTCCATTACCAGTGCCATTAATCGATTATCAATTTTTATTGTGGATTATATTCTCGTAAGTGAAATTGTTATGCCTAAACAATAGTACCTATGTATTGGTAACAAGACAATTTTCTGTTTTATTTTATTGGGGATAACCAACAATTGTGCAGATTTAACAAAATGTCTTACAGATACATCTATACTAATATTATAAATTCGAAAGTAACTCTGTCTCTCTTTCACGCCTAAACCACTGAACCGATTTTGATGAAATTTCTCATAGAGATAGTTTGAGTCCCGGGAAAGGACATAGGATAGTTTTTATCCCGGTTTTTGAAACAGGGACGCACGGTAAAGTTTTTCTGTGACAGACAAAATTCCACGTAGGCGAAGCCGCGGGCGGAAAGCTAGTCTTAAGTAACTGTAAAAAATTTATCGATAATTCTGAGATCGTAATTTCCCCGAGAGGCATGTAATTAGTAAGATTTTTGGCTTAATAAACTGATAATTGACTATTCGGCAACACTAGTGCAAGCCCAGTCCCAAAAACTTTCAAGTTAAGGTGTGTATTACAAAACAAAGCTCAAAACTAGACTCAATCTAGTTTGGTTGCTTGTTTCTGTACAACGCACCTGAGTAGTATACTAAACAACTTGTTCCAAACAAAATTTGTTACATTTGTTTCTATCAGTCATTTTTAATCAGTCGATTGTCAGCGAGCCTCAGAAGCAGAAGCCAGCTCTATAAGCAATTTTTATTCTGAACAGCTTGTCTAGTAGCATACTATTTAGAAGTCTTTTCCCAGCCATGAAAGTCATGATTGATGATAGCAAACTAAGGAATATACTTTGCAAAACAGTTGTAAATTTAAGTTTGTCCCAGGAAAAATCAGTCTATTTTTTCTAGCTGCTGAAAACTGCTTTATTGTATTTATTCTATTCTATTCCTCCATTTGCTTTCTTTGACAAATTAGAGGCGGGACTCTGCATTGGGAACCAAATAACCAATGGCTCATGGCTCTATGCACCTCGTCTCGTTTTGCAAAGTATATACCCTATCGGTCGCACACACAACACAATTAATGTTTAGTTATCACAACAATTAATATTTAAGAGACCTGATTAGAATGGTAGAAAACAAGCAAGATAATTTATCATTCATTTATCATTAATCGATGTCTTTGTCATTGTATAATAAATAACAAAAAAAGTTACTTTAGTTCTAAAACAGGTCTTCAACATATTTAGAACATGCTTTAAACTGCACAAAATCAACTGATAAATTACAAATAAATAAATAGAAATCTTACTAAAGAAAGGCATGCTTCCAGGACTTCATCTAGTTCTGATGCCTCTTTCGTTTGCTTGTAACATAATTTTAAAATTAGTCCAATCAAAAATCACAGTTTAAAAATGATCACACACAATGAGGGATGAATAAAAATGGATGTAACATTTTGCACAATACATGAAGCCTCTGTAAAAAATATATTCGTGCATGTATTTATTTAAGTAAATAAAGGTTAATGCCAGTGATTATGGTTTCTTAGTTCCAAAGCTAAGGTTAGCTGTAGGTACCTAGTGAATGTACCCCCTCAGTCGTATGTGTAATAATGGACAAGGGGTTTCTATTCAACCTCGCTTAGTAGAAAAGGGGCACACGAAAATCATAATCGTAAAAATAAAAACTTAGGATAATTCTTCAAAAAACAATTGAAACTTATGAGCTACATTCGGTTACAAATATGAAAACAGTAGAGAGGCTTCACAGTAACAGCAAAAACAAATGAGGACTGTCACAAATAGGGTTGCCAGGTGTTTGGCTTTTATCGATCTTTAGCTGGTCTTGCCAAATATTGTCTTGTCCGGCCTGTCTTTTTTTAGGCTTTTTATGAGGCTGCCGCGCCAGGCGCGTTAAATTGAGCCACAGATGATATCAAGCGCACGCATCTGGATGTTGGGCAACCGATGATGATAGTACTCACTCATGAGCTATGACACTAATTGCAACCCCACAGAGGGGGTCTGTGACATGTCCTGCATTTAGGGTTATATGTCCGGCCAAATGATCACAGAGTCCGGCTTTTGTGTTTGTACCTGGACTGTTTTTGGACCTGGCAACCCTAGTCAAGCGTTGCCGCGGCTTTGTCCCTCATTGCGACTTACAGTGACTGGCATGGCTTGAGCTCGCGAGTCCTGCGGGTTGTACCCTGTGACGGCCGGGTGCTGGTACATGTTACGGGAGCCAGGCAGCGCGGGGGCCAGGGGGTCCTTCCCCTGGGACCCCCCGCTGTGCCCTGTCCCGCCGCTGGGCAGGGCTTGATTGTTCCTGTTGAGAGAATGTAATTAAACATCTTGGTAAAGCAATTGTTGAAGTTGAAGACAAGTTACGCTACGATCGCGTGGAAAACGTCATATGTTGCTGTAGCGACCCCTAACTAGTTTCAAGCAACTGAAAATTGTTGCTGTATAAACTAGTTTTATAAAGTTACTTAAAAGTACCTAATAGGGTTGAGGTACTGGTGCCTCCACTGTTATAACAAGCAGGAGTCCATAGATGGTGGTTCTATGGTTTGCAGAATCAAGCAGGCATGCTGTACTAAAATCGGTATTCCGTGGGAAATTTCCACGATAATTCCACTGCCGAGGGAGGAAAAACGCGCTGCAAGAACCAACTACGTAATACTCTAACCAATGTGCGTAATAAATTGACGACTTTCCACGCGGTCGTGCGTAACTTTGGAATCGGTACAGTTAAATACTAAGAACGAATGCGGCGGTGATACGACCTTCTCGTCTTGATAATAAATCGAAACTGAAGTAGTCAAACTTATGAGACTTTTAGACTGAAAGAGACTAAAGAAAACTAATGGTATCAAAGTATCAAGATCATATCGCCACCTATATTAGCCACTTTAGGCCTAAAACTCAAATAGTGAACCACATTCACCATGTTTTTGGGCCTTTGCTGTTTTGATATGAGTAAAACCTCTGTCATTTAAGTACATAATTTTATATTTGTACAANTTGAACAGTAAATGATTACTTTCGCATGGACTACCTGACATAGAAATTTTAATAGATATTAACGATTCTGATAGTAAATTTTTTCCAAGAATAATAAATAAAAAATATTGGGCACAATCCAACCAATGCAACATTTGTACACCATGCAAACAAAATATTTTATAGACAGAGGCTTGAGAAAGAGATCCTAATATACAAAAAGCATAGTACTAATTTTATCCTATCAGCAGACTCCTTATACAAACCAAATATTAATGCTTGTTCCGATGAAGTTTAATACTAATTTAAAATTAAACGCTTACACTTAGTAGCTGATACCCAACACCAGAAGCCCTCAAGGGTCATGCATCAACACTGTGCTCAGAACTCCTGCATTATAGGTCCAATGTAGAGCAGACATTGGAACGTTAATGTCGGACTGATGGAGTCATGCTGACAACTAGAGGCGAGGCAAACGCGAGAACAACTGACACTTGCCTATTATTCCCGCTCTTTTGGGAGCGGTGTCCGTTCTCAGTTGTTTTGAGCCGCGTTCTAAGTTCAGAAGTGGTTCCATTTTCGGAGGGCGCACTCGGGACCGCACTCCCTACCCTCGCTGAAGATCGTGTTTTAACCATTGTTGACGTGCGACCATCTCATGTCAACTGAAATTCACGAGTCCGAAAACGGACAAACTATCATAAATCAACTATACAAACTGTACAGCCGTTCTGGAAAATTTCTTCGACGTTGTAAAACTTTCAGCACCACATCTCTCCTTATTTCTCTTACACCATAAACTGGAATTAAAGGGAAAGGGGCCCGAAAAACATCTGCAATTGAATAATTACCCATTTTAGTCGTCAATGGTTAAAACATGTCTTACAGCTTTATTTAACGTCTGAACAAACCACTATTATCCTCAAATGTTGATAGTTTTGGAACAATGTTGGCGGTCCCATTGCTAATGGTCATTATTAAATTATTCCACTGCAGCTGTGAAGTGGCAGGGCTATGGAGAGAAAGTACATGAACAGGCTCAATCACCAATAACAAAAACCGTTGGGAAGACAGGAGCTGATTGTAAGAGAAATAAGACGACTGTCCTGTCAATGAAATTTTCCAGAATACTCTTTATTACATTTACAAGGTCTAGTCTAGAGTAACTTGTACATAAGATACAAAGGGACAACCATAAATGCGGACCACTAAATATTGTATTTGGTGACAAATTGAGAATGAACATCACTAGCAAACCTAGCTTAAATGGAATTGATGAATACTACAGTATCCCCTGCCATATTGGCAAACTGTGTTGTAGCATGTTTATGCTATTTAGATTCTGTTATACTATTTAGATGTAGTCAGAGTGCTTTTTTGTCTTCTAAGAGTCAGTACGAACATCACAATAATATTAATACACAGTTAAACAAAATTGTTGTCTTATAATTTTGGATTTTTTAAACAACAGAGCAGATAAAGATATGGAGACATGTAAAGAACCCTTTATGGGCTACCTTTTTTAAATTTATTTTAACTTTCATAAATGCCAAACGTTGTTAATGAATAAATGACATTGCAGATAATTTTATTCAAAACCTTTTACTTAGAACTACTTCCTTCAATAAATATCTATAATATTATTTTATACAGTCAGCATTTCAAGGATAATAATATTTACTCTACATTTTAGTATTTACTTTGGAGTATTGTAAAAATTTAATAAGATAACAATACTACTTACTTACTTTCTAGATCTAGAGCACTATCACTATTAGTATCACTATCAGGCACAGTAAATAGGCACAAAATTAAAGATTTCCTGTTTTTGTCAATAAAATGCAAATAAATAAGAATCTATGAACTAAACTAATGAGATGTTTTCTACATAACAACACAATCTGCAAACTACGTACTACAGACCTACTACATAAAAAGCACACCTCTTATTGCCCTCTAATTAAAAAAATCAATAGAAAGATAGACTTACTGATTAAGGTTGTTACAAATAAAAACAGTTTCATAGGTTATTACAGGTGGTATTTTGTAAATTACTAGATATTAGATTTTAGGAGTAAAATTTAGTGTCCTGGGATATTTTTTATCTTCTAAAATGAAAAAAAGCACGTTCAACCGCCAGGGGTTGTTTTATGCAGACATTTTTTAAAAGCCCGGGAAAGATATAACAAATCGGATAAACAATATAGATACTTAAAAAGTAAGTGTATGCGGCTTTCGCTATACTTATTCAATGAGTAAACAAGCAAAAACTATTAAATTTATAGGAAACGTATACAAATTCTAAACAATATGGATGTCAGCATTTAGCAGTAAACTCACCATGATATAGCGTTACCGTAATCGTAATATCTGCTCATATTATAAACAAGTTTTGAAAATTACACTGACATTTAGTAACATTTAAAAAAACTATTTACGAACGTCTTTCTCAAAACGCCATAATTCTTGACGCTTGAAACATTAGGTCGGCCGCCACATTGGATCATAGACTAAACTTTTTTTTCATGTTCATCAGCTTTACTTCTGTAAAGCACGTGAAATCATACGTAGGCAAGCAAAACTTTTATTCAAAAATACTTGTTTTTAATTAAATATTTTGACTTTTCTTAGTAATTGAGCGATAATAAGAGTGATAACTGAAATACATAATCGTTCAATCATGCGAATATTTTACCCGTGTTTATTAGAACACCAATCAAAATTCCAGCTCTTACAGGTGTAAAGCTGATATACATGATATAATCATAGACAAATAAATTGGATGACGTCATTTCCACTTCCTAATTTGATGTGTTGTACCAAAATAATAATTCGGATAGTTACTTTAAAGTTCCTATCCTCTTTAGGGTAATTATTTTCACAATAATTAAACTTACAAAGCACGTTCAAACTTTTCTCATACTCTAATAGGTGTAGTTCTACTAGCACGGACGTAGCTATAGCATTGACAAGGGGGGCGGAGTCCCTCATTGTAAAAAAACAGATTTGACCTACACGTAACCAAGCAAAGTAAAAGAAATCAAGAAAATACTTATTACGCGTTACTTCATACGCGTGAAAGCCCATTTTCGTAACATTTTTCATTTTTGCTCTGCACCTATTACTCGTAGCGTGATGGTATATAGCCTATAATACTAGCTTTCCGCCCGCGGCTTCGCCCGCGTGGAATTTTGTCTGTCACAGAAAAACTTTATCGCGCGCGTCCCTGTTTCAAAATCCGGGATAAAAACTATCCTATGTTCTTTCCCGGGACTCAAACTATCTCTATGCCAAATTTCATCAAAATCGGTTGCGAGGTTTAAGCGGGAAAGCGTAACAGACAGACAGACAGACAGAGTTACTTTCGCATTTATAATATTAGTTGGGATCTATAGCCTTCCTCGATAAATGGGCTATCTAACACTGAAAGAATTTTTCAAATAGGAGTGGTAGTTCCTGAGATTAGCGCGTTCAAGTAAAGAAACAAACAAACTCTTCAGCTTTATAATACTAGTATAGATTTTAAGTGTTTAATATTAACATCCAATTACTTCGGCAGTATTTGTTGAATAATAAAGCCAACCCAACGAGACCCTACGAAGTCACCAGGCACCTCCAGGCACGGATTTTTTATTAATACTATTTTTTAAGAAATAACGGTGAAACGTACCCTTATATTTCAAAAAGTTTTACCAACCTATTTTTACTGTGTATCCAAACGCAATTCGTTCAAAACTTAATGTTGTTTTTAAATACAAATTATTTTTGTTATTTTACATTATATTACAATTAGATAACTATTTATTATTTTATTTATTAATTGTCATTTTGTCATTGATCACGGCGAGATGGATAATCTCATTGGAATAATCTAGTTTCTGAACGAATCTTTAGTGAAGCTTCCCGGAAACGGATACATTTCGGACGTACTTACATAATATCCGTTTCCTACTTCTAAAAGTTGTGCCTCGAATAGATAAACTTTATCGATTGAGTTAAGGGGAATTTTCATACAATGCCACGCCTTTCATACAATAAAATTNAAACTTGTACTATTATGTAAGCGTCGACTGTTAAATAATAGAATCTTGTTTTAAATTAATTTATTATCTAACTAAACGCAAGTGTAAGTATTGTGGGTACACCATAACGACCAAATAGGCGCTGCCTTGATACCACGTTCGACTAGACGTGACCGATGTACGTCGAGGCGAGCGTGGACAGGCCTCGTAGCACCCTCCGCCCGGTCGGTCCAGAGCCTCTCGGCCAGGGCCGCAGCCCGGGGCCACACGCGGCCGTCTAAGCCCCCACCACTCAGCGATGACGACCATACCGTTGCTTCTCCTCCTTCTACCCGCCATAAAGAATTTCGGGCCCACGGTCGGTATTCATAAACACGCTGCCACGAATTAAACGGCACCCCTCCACTATCCTCATGCCAAGACCCTAATCCGCTGTTCAAATCCCAAGCATCTTCATGGGAAATAACAGTCCGAACACCGCTCACGTGCTTATGTGCCCACGCTACGTTCCGAGACTGCAAACCGATGCAACGAATATAATCTTTCAACTCCCCCTTTATTCGATCACTCAAGTGGGATGTCCACATCAGAGTCAGATTTGGTGATTTCCCGTTTGCGAACTCAAGTCGTTGCAAAGCTGACCGAGTGAACTCCAGCCAAAGATTCATCGGATCGCTGTCATTAAAATGTTCCTCCCAGCACCGCTCCGATACATCATCGCCACCAATGTGGAAAATGTCATCTACTCCTGTTAGCTGAATTATTTCGGCGTATACTCTTTCAAGCAGCTCAAATACGCGAGGGTTGCGCGGATTGAGTTGTCCACAAGGCGGGTCGTTGCAGTACGCGCTCCAGGGTTCTGCATCAATACAATGCGCGAGTGTTCGGAACCCAGAGCCGTCCCCCATGCCCAGGCGCGGCCTACGTGCGCCGGAGTATCNAACTAGCCTATTTCAATTATGACGCGGATTCCTCGTAATCTCGCTCTACGCACCACAGCTCGGATATCATCTGGCGAGTACATTGCACTGACCCCATAAGCTCCAAAAATTGAAAACTGCGGAACGCTACTTAACTGTAACGAAAATGCTTGAGAGTCGCTCGCATGCCAGTGAAACGTATTCAACTTGCAAGCGCCCATTGCATCTATCGTCCGTATTATATCATTTACTGGATAGAAGGTTCGAGCCGTATCTAGAAGTAGACCACGGTAGCTAAAACGTGGCGCATCTTCTATTTTTGCAGCTTCTAGAATAAGGAGAGTGCCCCGATAAGAATCTAACCATATCAATTGGGACAATGTTTCGAATGCGTGCCGAATACCACAAAAGGATTGTGCAAATATGTCTACTATTAGTGAGGTTCCCACGGTAGTTTTGGGGCGCAAGGCTAGTCGGTATCTTTCGTCTGTATTGATGCGCATACGAGGATCACTGGTGCCATTCAAATTTACTCGAACTTGGACACTTCGCCATTCTTCGAAACCGCGTTCTTTTCGCTCTAATGCCTTTAAATCATTGCGAAGCAACTGAAAAGCGTCCTCTATGTGATTTCTTGTTATTTCAGAGACTGTACTATGAGCTATTTGCAGTTGTATAAGGTCTGTCCGGACAGGAACTGCTGTGGTTGATAAGCTGACTTGACCAGTCGGCTGTGGCCAAATCTGCATGGAGGCACACAACATGTTACAGGTTGTTAGAGACTGCATCTTGCTCGTCTCTCTCACTGATATAGGTACACACTTTTCGTTTATGCACTCCCAAGTCCATAATGGCAAATTGGTTCTGCAGGAGAAAGAGGAATTCCGATAAATTACTTAAATAAATAAAAACGTAATAAAATACAAATTCTTATTTAATACTCACGTCTGTAAAGTAATTTCCCAAAAGTTTGAAAAAAGTAAAATAAAAAGCTTAAAACAATACATGAGTGTTTAGACGTCCGTGTTAAATTTTCGTATAAATAAGCGACAAGCTTTTATAACATTTTCGAAACTTGCAAAATAACATTTTATGGCATTTCATCATCTTTGTATCAAAATAAAAATGACAATCTTTCAATGTCTCTCAACAGATTGACAGCCACGTGCTTGCGCGCGTCGACATTTATAAACACTTAGGGATGTCCAAGCATCAATTAGAAACTGTACCTATCCCACAATATTTTTTTGACTAAAATAGTGAGACACATTATACACTCGGCATCAAATAAATGTGTCATGCNAAAGTGCTTTTTAAGAGCCTATATAAATGACTTTTTAGTTTTTTTCATATAACTCTTAACTTTCACAATTCGTATTCGTGCTAGGGAAGAAATGCCAAACTTTTGCGTATTTTCCTTTAAATAGAGATCTGAAATGTTGAATCTCCCATAGGATAATAAATTAATTCATATCATTTTTTTAAACGAGCCATAGACTATGAACCATAGAGCAATGATTCTCATCGACAAAAATATCGATAGTGTCTCAGCGCCATCAGCTGTTACACAAATGTCATTACCTCGTCCCCCTCAGGAAATGGCGAAATTTTTTTGTATGGAAATAAACGCGCGCTGCTACTCCTGTTATTTCTGCTCTCTGTTTAAAGTTCCTATCCTCTTTAGGGTAATTATTTTCACAATAATTAAACTTACAAAGCACGTTCAAACTTTTCTTTTATTCTAATAGGTGTAGTTCTACTAACACGGACGTAGCTATAGCATTGACAAGGGGGGCGGAGTCTCTCATTGTAAAAAAACAGATTTGACCTACACGTAACCAAGCAAAGTAAATAAAATCAAGAAAATACTTATTGCGCGTTACTTCGTACGCGTGAAAACCCATTTTCGTAACATTTTTCATTTTTGCTCTGCACCTATTACTCGTAGCGTGATGGTATATAGCCTATAGCCTTCCTCGATAAATGGGCTATCTAACACTGAAATAATTTTTCAAATCGGAGTGGTAGTTCCTGAGATTAGCGCGTTCAAGTAAAGAAACAAACAAACTCTTCAGCTTTATAATATTAAGAATAGATTTTAAGTGTTTAATAATTAACATCCAATTACTTCGGCAGTATTTGTTGAATAATAAAGCCAACCCAACGAAGTCACCAGGCACCTCCAGGCACGGATTTTTTATTAATACTATTTTTTAAGAAATAATGGTGAAACGTACCCTTATATTTCAAAAAGTTCTACCAACCTATTTTTACTGTGTATCCAAATGCAATTCGTTCAAAACTTAATGTTATGTTTTTAAATACAAATTATTTTTGTTATTTTACATTATATTACAATTTGAGTAATTTAAAAATGATAGATAACTATTTATTTATTAATTGTCATTTTGTCATTGATCACGGCGAGATGGATATAGTTCCAAAATACTGGACTGTCCTATCGATGACATTGACAGTGGGGCGCCACCGTCAATACCGGATCGCTGGTTCCGATTTCTGCCATGTTGGAAACCATATAGTTGAACGATGGTAGCGCCCCCCTGTCATTGAGTTTGGTGGGACAGTTCAGCGTGGGTCATCTATAATCTCATTGGAATAATCTAGTTTCTGAACGAATCTTTAGTGAAGCTTCCCGGAAACCGATACATTTCGGACGTACTTACAAAATATCCGTTTCCTAGTTCTAAAAGTTGTGCCTCGAACAGATAAACTTTATTATCGATTGAGTTAAGGGGAATTTTCACACAATGCCACGCCTTTCATACAATAAAATTATTATTCGGCATGTGACGATGCACAGCATCTGGTGAGAGATGCGTCTACTTCCGGTGTAGTTTTTTACCATTTTATACCTTAAATGACGTCATTTCCGTAATTATTTAATAGGAATTGATTTGACTTACTTCCGTTTGCCGCCATTTTAGTCACCTGGGGCCGAGCTTGCTCGGAGTTCTTCATAGCGTCTTTAACTTCCAAACTAGCAACATCGTAAGCAGAAACTCTGCTCAGATTTTTACTGAAATAATTTATTTCTCAACGTTCTTATACTAAGTTTAAAATTAAAAAGTGCAATTGACCGCGCGTGTGTGACCGCGAACGACATGTACGTCATGTACGTGGTGGTTGGCGCCAAAGGGGACGAGTGTCTTCCGGACGACGAGCAGGTGGACCCAGAGCGTCGGATACCGGAGAAACTCGGACCCCGGCGAGATTCAAAACGGATGAAACGAGGTACGTGGGATTCTGATAGTTTTAACACTCTTTCCGATCAAATGAGCATTCTCGCGAATCTCTATATTGTATAAATAAATTAAATAACGGCGGCCCCGTCAGCCCCAATCGCAAACATTACCAATCAAAATACGTTGTTAGCATCACCACAATCGAACGATAACTCTTTCTGGTACGAGTTTCTTAATAAATACCCCTTTAAAAAGGCTCATTGTGCTCATAAAATAAAGCACCTACAAATGCTTTACCACATCAACAAAGCACATTAAACTACAACTATTAGTAGACTGGGCGGCCACCCCCAACACTGAGCCAGCTTACAGCTTGAATGATTAAATTCTAATGTTTTTTGCAAATCAAGAAGCTTAATAAGTATGACAAAATGTGCTAAGTGCATCGAACATGTATACCTACTTCTATTTTGCAACAACATATAAATTGTAATGTGACATGCAATAAACGTTTTTGAATTTGAATTTGAACATGTCACGAGCGTATCCTGGCTAAAATGCCTAATAAGCATTGTGCGAGAAGCACCCTCCCAGTGCTGGATTTTTGTTCGGCAAAATCACCCTGTGCTCGTACTGGTGATATCTAAAAAATAATCCGACCTTGGTTCTCTAGCCGGTCACTTCAAGCAAAATCAAAACATAATAATATCTTTATTTGCTTAGACTGATTAAATTAGTTCTTACAAATCGTCAAATACTAATAAGTAAGTAACCTTTACCTACACATATTATTATCTTTAAAGCAAATACATAAGCCTCAAAATAACTCCCTTCGATTTAGAACAAAAAGCCAAGGATTCCAAATCAGTCCTTTCAGGTCCCCTTGACGACCAATAAATCAAATGACCATCCACTCAGCAAATTCTATGGAAGCTGCCTTTGAGCGTACCTATCTTGGGCATTGGCAGGCGTCATCATTCTGCGGAGGTCAACCTGTTACCTGACAATGGTTCCAGGGATGCGTCTGCCATTCACCTCCAAGAAATGGCAATGCCAGATTTTGTATGGAAGGTGGCGTCTTTTTTTTTTCGCGCGGCCATCGACCAAACTTTGTTTTTTGATTACAAAATAGTGTAATAAACCAAACTTACTATGGCATGTATACCTCTAAACTCAGTCTGAACTGAGTTACGAGCATTAGAAGTTTAATGATTTTCATACTAGATTAGCTTTTTGCGCGCAAGTTTTGTAAGAAATTGCAACAAAATATTGCGCTATTTTTTTATTGCGCTGATTCTGCTGCATACTGATGTCTGGAGTCTTTAATGGATGGTATTGTGTGTTTACACATACAATGTCATTATTTTGTTGCAATTTCTTTCAAAACTTGCGCGCAAACAGCAAATCTAGTATGAAAATCATCAAACTTCTGATGCTCGTAACTCAGTTCAGACTGAGTTTAGAGGTATACATGTCATAGTAAGTTTGGTTTATTACACTATTTTGTAATCAAAAAACAAGGTTTGGTCGATAGCCGCGCGAAAAAAAAAAGACGCCAATTTCCGGCATTGTCTTTTATTAATGCGAGTCATTTCTACTAGTATTTAAGTATCTTAATCTGTAAGTCTAGATATTAGCACGTTACTACCTTGTTTAATATACCACGCAATTTTGTATACCCATTCTTGTAAGATACACCATACAAGAATGCGTGGTAAATTCAGTGAACTGCTCCTGAATCAAATGTACCTACTACTGCTTTTTCTATTTATTTATATTAACCGGCAGACAGTGGTGACTGACTGAGTTTGTTGCGGCGCTTCTTCTCAGCACTTGCCAAATGTTGGTCTCGAAGCGCTGGTATAAAAAGATTATGAGACATGAAGAGGTTCCTTAAGAGCAAAATGACGATTTGTAAGAACTATATAATAGTCTAAACGAATAAAGAAATTTTGACTTTGACTTTGAGATCGAATCAGAAATGAAGAGATCCGTAAACGAACTAAGTAAAGTCGCTGACATAGCCCGACGGATTAGCAAGCTGAAGTGGCAATGGGCAGGGCACATAGGACGCAGAGCTGACGGCCGATGGGGCAGCAAGGTTCTGGAGTAGAGGCCACGTACCGGAAAACGCAGCGTGGGACGTCCACCCACAAGGTGGACCGACGACCTGATAAAGGTAGCAGGAAGGCGCTGGCTGGCTGCAGGCTGCTACTAACCAGGCAGCATTGGGGGAGGCCTATGTTCAGCAGTGGACATCCTATGGCTGAGATGATGGTGATCCAGAGCCTTGCTGCCCCATCGGCCGTCAGTTCTGTGTACCTAATATGTGCCCTGCCCATTTCCACTTCAGCTTATTTTTTTTTTATGTGATAGGAGGCAAACGAGCAAACGGATCACCTAATCTAATCTATTTATTACAGATATTTATGCGTTTTGGGTCGTATTCAGTTCATTTACGGATCTCCTCATGTCTGATTCGATCTCGTAAAAAAACACCGAGCATATTAGCCCTCTCCATAACACGCTGTGCAACTTTGAGCTTGTTTGGGAGCTAGATTCTCAAGATTGTTGACAATATGTCTACCTCGCACAAAAGATTCAGCTACGTAGATTCAATTTCGAGAAAGAGGTCAATCGTCGCATCCAACGCGGCTGGGCAGCATTCAGTAAACTACGCAACATCTTTTCATTCAAAATATCTCAGTACCTAAAGACGAAAGTCTACAACCAGGTGTGCGTGTGCTATCAATGATGATAATAGGTACGGCTCAGAAACGTGTCCTCTCACTATGGGCTGTTGATTAGATACAAATATTGCCTTTAAAGTTGGTAAAAAAGGGAGTAAAATTAAAATAGGGGATGAATTTTTTTGTGGAAATTCCATTTCACATAGTATTCATGCTCATGAGATTCGCTTCACTCACTCACTTCTCATTTCACATGTGTTTTTTTTCTTGGTGCCCGCTTTGGGCCAGTCTCCCCTAAATGTTCCGAAAGGAAATTTTAAATTTGCCGTAAATCGGTTTATACTAAATCAAATAAAAAATTGAGTATAGTAGATTTGTATACATTTAATATACATTTTTATGGGCTTATAAACGAATTCAGAAACCTTCAGTAACGAAATCTTCTAGGTGGTCCCGCTAGGGAGTATGCTCTCCGGCGGGACCACTTTGAATTAATGTTTACAACAAAACTATAGATATACATTTTTTTTAACTAAGTCTACAATTATATACATATTTTATACATTTCTTTCGTATATATTATATGTACCTACGTTAAGGTGGTCCCGCCCCAGAGCATGACACGATGTCCTGCGCCGGCTCAGTTTGAATAGACTTTGGTATTATAGTGGGCTGAAGGCCATTAATACAGTTACAAGACTGTTTTTTTGATAAGGACTCAAAACGCTCAGTGTTGTAATTGCATAGGTCAACAAGTTTGGAAGTGGCCAGTACATGTTCATTGATTTGTTTCTGTGCAATTTCATATCGAGATTTGAACTGTTTAAGATAAAGTTCCAAGTCATCTATTTTCTCATGTAAGATTAAAGTATTATCATCGTACAACTTTTTGGGCATAGCGTAGCCATATAAAAAAAAAAGTTTGATTTTTGGATTTTTTGGCACTTGACGTTTTAAAGTCGTGGGACGTTAATTTATTGATTGTTTGTGCTATAAATTCGCACCATTGAAGCCATTATACAGAATATTAATAATAATTCTAAGCGCTAGAAATAGCTACTATGTTAATTAAATTTCGTTTGAGTATTACCAACGCAAGTAAATTCTGAAATGTACAAATACTTACTCGAGTAATTAGTTGATTTCTGAGTATGAGTTTATTGGAACAGGTGTAGTAAATAATTTTATCATTTCTCTTACTTTTAACAAAAATAATAACTCAGATGCAGCGTGCGATATAGACAGGTATGTAAATTTTCCTAATTACATATTACACAACAATCCACACCAATAGACTTAAAATGATTTTCGCAGCTAAATGAACTAACTAGGTACCTACTAACCAAATGAATTTCGTGCCTAAATGAAAACAACGCGAAATAATTATCACTTCTCCCTATTGTTGTTTTAGTTTAATTACGTAAGTAAATACATAGTACTTAAGTTATTCGTAACGTCATGTAGATTTGATCTTCTGTCCCCAGGAATATAAATTATTCAATATGAAGACTATTATGAACCAGTTATGCCTCACTGCAAATCATTGTTGCTTTTGCATGTCGCTAAAGGTCGGCACGATCATAATTGCTTTCTTGGGGCTCTTACCCAGCATGTACTACATATTGCTGCTCACCGTTGGAGACAAGGTATTCGAGACTTACGGAATAAACGACGACGCGGCGACGTATCTCATACACATCTACGCGGCGGGGGGCGTGCTCATGGCTGCCATACACATCATCCTCATAGTAGCCGCCTTCACTTACAACGAAAAATTAATACTAATGTATCTATGGTTCTGTCTCGTATATTTCTTTGTTGATGTACTACTCGCAATAATTATAAGTATTATGGCTTTTATAAATGATCTTTGGTTTGTTGGTTTGGGGCTAATTGTGTTCGTCTCTATTTATTGGTTATGTTTATATTTCTTCGTATTTCCTGTAGTAAATGGATTCCGGAGAAGTATAACTACAGTAGTTATTATATTAGCGTAATGAAATTATTTTCTGTAACTGTTAATATTATATTTTCTGAATATAATGATTCTACCTATGTATTTTCCTTTTTGTTGTTGGAGCCCATCCCCAAACTGTGGCACGTACCGAATCGTAACCGGATCGCTGCCGTTTTACGACTGTCATCCCGTTCCCCACTATTTGCACGCACTAGCTGTAATAAACACAAAATCACAGGCTCACAGCATACCTACTTTTACGCTCCGTAACGTGGTCTGTTTGTAGAGTTTTACACGGCTCCATTTTGGAAATTCGTTTAAGTAATTAAACTTGAGCTACAAGGAGCTTATTTACTCTTCTATTACCTACTACTCAAATTGCTGAATGAAGATGTACGATCTCATTGAATTTTGAGGTGACAATAGTCCAACGGTGAAGGTGTCAGACTGGTCGAACGGTCGAACCCCGCCGCCGCGTATAGTTCCAAAATACTGAACTGAGCCCCGATTACGGTAACTTTTAACGTCTACAATCAGTGGCGGCGTAGCATGGGTTGGCACCTGGGGCGGTACACCCCCCCCGAAGGACAATCGCACCCCCCCCCTCATCATGACTTGCCATGCAGATGCGCCAGTGAGTACTAATCTGCGGACTTGTGTCACCCCCTGATGCTTGGCACCCGGGGCGGACCGCCCCCACCGCCCCCCCCTTACGCCGCTACTGTCTACAATCCAGACGCGTTTCTGATTCTGCAATACGATTGGTCAAAACAGCTGATGTACGCTGTTAAACGACCAATCGTATCGCAGAATCGAGAAGCGTGTCTGGATTGTTGACGTTAATAAAAGTTATAATACCGTATATACCGTAATCGGGGCTCTGTCTGTGGTCCTATGCATGACATTGACATATTATAGTTGAACGATGGTAGCGCCCCCCTGTCATTGAGTTAGGTGGGACAAATTCAGCGTGGGTCATCTATATCTGTGCTGTATATTTATGGCTGTATATTAAAAAAATGCAGTGACAGATACTGTCAAAGTCAATGTGACATAATAAAACCACAAACATCATTCATTCATTTTTTTGACAATTTGACATTCTTCTCAAAGCGGGATTTCGGTATGGCCGGTCCATGTGTTTTAAAAAATTTGTAAACTTTATTTACTTTCGATTAATAATATGTGAACGTAATCCATAATTGCAGTTTTTATTATTTTGTTTTTGAGAGTTCCAATATTAATTTACACAATGGAGCCCGACAAGGAAGAAACTTACAGAGTGGTAAGTAGTTTTTTGTAAATATTTTCTGAAATGTTGAGTTGAGGTAAATTATCTTACGTACGCTAAAGATCTTTCAAAGGCGCACTAAATGCTTTTATTTGATTAATTTCGGTTTAATTGCCTTAATTTTCTTAATTAGTTTACCTCCTGAAAAGTTTAGTAATCTAGAAAGTAATTTAATGTTTTAGACATGATTTTGAAGCTGCTGAGACCTAATCCATGTGCAGATTCATTATTGCGGAAGTCTAAGGCTACGGCCGGATACTCGCGACACCCCCACTCGGGCGATGACGGAACGCTGCGTAGGTTTTAGTGGGTATACCCGGTATACGTCCTGAAAAGGACGGAGCAGCCCCCTTTTCAGGGCGCTAGGAATCTCCCACACTCCACCCTGTCTTCCGGCAGTGGTGACGGTGCGCAAAGGCCAAAGCATTTCCTCTGCAATATAAAAGAAGTGCAGATTCATTGGTGTTTATTATGTCTTACTCAAACCATTAGTTTATAATTTTTCATTATGAATATTACCTTAAAATGACCTTTTTTACCTTAAAATTCTTGTGTCTCTGAAGTTGCTTAGCCGGTTCTTATAAAATTTTGTGTGACATGTCATTATCATACCCCTATTATTATTATTGGTTTTTGGGCCTTTATTTGCGCCAACTCGACCAGGTTTGATCTATTGTGGCAGCCCTTGTCTTTAAAGTTCACTGCTTAGTCCCGTTGAGTCTATAAATTTCCAGATTCTTTGGAGCATGATATCTGCTATCTCATCCGGTCATCATACCCCTAGGTGCATAACAAAGTTTGCTGGGTAGTAGCTAGTTATTGTTTTGGAGTAAATGTTTTATAGTCTATCCAATATAGCTTGATTAGAATGACAGCTGCCATCAAAAGTAACGACNCTATAGTGATAGGCATTTTGATGAAGGAATTTGCCTTATTCGCGATTGCATGCGCGACTCTGGCGCATATCCGGCTCACTGTCGGCTGACTTAGGCCATGGAGGTCACCAGCATCATCTTGTACCTGAAAATGTATGAAAATAATTATAGCAGCCACGACAAAGGGATAAAATAAAACACTTTTTTGTGCTTACCTCACGACGTCCCCAACATCTTATGGCCACTAAAACTTGCAGTTCAGGACACGTGCCACCACCTCTAGCGCTCTGAACCAGATCATCTTCCACCAAATCTATGATGGTGCGCACTGTGTCCTTATTGAACCTATATTTTATTTTAAAATTTAGGTCCCGCAAATCGAATGGGTTGCTTCGTTGGCGGTAGAGCTTTCTACGTCGCGCTGGGTCGGCATTATTGGCTAAATGCACAATTGCATTTATAGCATTCATTTTCACAAGCAAGGATCACAGCAAGGATATTTTGAATAAATAAACCAACGAAGTGACATTCATATGAAATGACATTTATAAAAGTTAGGTTAAAATAGGTTTATTAGAGCTTTAAACAAGGCCCGAGCTCTCGATAACTTATCACACAGTTATAAGAGGATTTTAGCGCTAAATGACGATTATGAATAACAATTTTTATCAAACGTTTTATAAACCTCTAATAAGCATTTGATAAAATGTGAAAAATGATTATGAATAAGACCGTTAATGTTTAACAATAGAACGACGAGAAATTGAGATATTATCGATAATTTATTGAGTAAATTGATTTCAGGCTCTGATATTATAACAAAATGTAAAAATTCGAAACATATTTTTCAATCTATGATACGTATGTCTTATACTGTTGTATTGAAGTTAGGTAGTAGTACCTCCCTATCTAACGTTAACATAACGTTCCGATTCTGAGTCAGTGTGTGTGGATCATTGACTCACAATCAGATTTCAAACAGAACGACTTAAAATTTTATTATCTGAATGAAATGGGATGACCGCTCAAGACGGATATACTTAATGACGTCTTTAATACGAGTTTTAATGCGTTTATAACTTTCATATTTTACGAGCCTTTGTTTCGGTTTATTTGGGAAATTCGAATCGAAGCCATTTCGTTCGAGCGAGAGGAACAGTAAAACAGAAGCGCTACGTGTATCCTAGGACGTTTTTATTGTAAGTGGGGCGATAAAACAAAAGACGCGAGAGGTGCATAATAAATAATAATAAACAAACGGAAGGGGAATAACTTATGCGCACATCTGCGCACTGGCGTAAATGAGGGAAAGTCAGTTGGCTCTCTGAGACTTCACACCTTATGTGACGTAATGGTAGTGATGCAATAATGCACTGTTATCGTATACCGGTGGGATTGATAAAAAAATAAACATTGTTGTGTTCCGGCAGTTGGAGGTACTCGTAACATTCTGTGTCCAGTTGTCCTCTGTAGTTCAGGATTCCCGTGAAGCTCGCTTCCACCTTCAGCCTGATCATAACTTTCCATCAGGTGAGATGGAGGGTAAGAGCTTCCTGGTTGTGAATAAAAAATCAAGTAGGTAACATGAAATGTTTATTATTTCAATCATTATAACTAGAAAAAAAAATATTCTAAAAATAAAGAAATAGACTGGAAAAGGCTCCAAGAACTCGTACCTATTCAAATTAACTATTATGGAAGTGTTTAAGCGTTATGACCCTCATAACTTACAAAGTAAGTATAAAAAAATTAAGTAAAATTTTCTATGACGTCACCAAACGCTGTCTACATTGGCCTTACCCACCAACTTCTATTGCGTCGAAGCCATCAACGTAAATATTGTACAAGACAAAAAGTGGCCAAATCGCGGCCGTCCGCGTCCTAAAGCTTTGTATGGATTACGAGGTTTTTATTGCCTCTGTAGCGGACGCCGGGCATTAGAGCCTGGCTTTTCCAGCAATGCGTGTAAATGCGATCTAGGATATAACTATATCGATGTGGTCAGGCACTGAAAGAAATAAATAAAAATGTTTATTTGATAAGGCACCCAAACAAAACATTAATTTGATCCTAAACCTCTCTAACAAAATAACTAGTTATTTTGTCAGTGTAACTAGTTATTTACAACTGCATGTCAGCCAATGCGCTGTCTTCATAATGTTTATTGCAAAGGTTCCACGTTTGCTCAGCTTCATGTACCATTGTCCGTGACATAAAACAGCACATCAGACTTAATGTCGACCCGATTGTTCAAGCGAAATAAAAGCAACTTTTACGCTTAAAATTCCTCCGAGTAACACGCTAACTACGAGTAGAAATAAATTGTACTCCTCGTAATATGAACGCGGAACCCCTACGAACGTACAGCGCTACCACTCGTAGCGCGTAGCATCTACAGTAGCAAACCAATAAAATAAACAAACTGATTAACACCCGCATTCACAAACATAACTATGAGGCGGTCTTATTCATAATAAAATGCTAACGGTCTTATTCATAATCATTTTTCACATTTTATCAAATGCTTAATAGAGGTTTATAAAACGTTTGATAAAAATTGTTATTCATAATCGTCATTTAGCGCTAAAATCCTCTTTTATCTGTGTGATAAGTTATCGAGAGCTCGGGCCTTGTTTAAAGCTCTAATAAACCTATTTTAACCTAACTTTTATAAATGTCATTTCATATGAATGTCACTTCGTTGGTTTATTTATTCAAAATATCCTTGCTGTGATCCTTGCTTGTGAAAATGAATGCTATAAATGCAATTGTGCATTTAGCCAATAATGCCGACCCAGCGCGACGTAGAAAGCTCTACCGCCAACGAAGCAACCCATTCGATTTGCGGGACCTAAATTTTAAAATAAAATATAGGTTCAATAAGGACACAGTGCGCACCATCATAGATTTGGTGGAAGATGATCTGGTTCAGAGCGCTAGAGGTGGTGGCACGTGTCCTGAACTGCAAGTTTTAGTGGCCATAAGATGTTGGGGACGTCGTGAGGTAAGCACAAAAAAGTGTTTTATTTTATCCCTTTGTCGTGGCTGCTATAATTATTTTCATACATTTTCAGGTACAAGATGATGCTGGTGACCTCCATGGCCTAAGTCAGCCGACAGTGAGCCGGATATGCGCCAGAGTCGCGCATGCAATCGCGAATAAGGCAAATTCCTTCATCAAAATGCCTATCACTATAGGAGAGCAGGAAAGAATTAGTGCCAAATTTAGAGCAATTAAAAATTTTCCTGGGGTGATAGGAGCCATAGATTGCACCCACATTAAAATTAAAAAAACCGGAGGTGACTATTTTCGACGACAGTGCTTCCAATAAAAATGTTAATTTCGTGTAAATGCAGCGTTAAATTACACCAATAAGTAGTAATTCGAAATTATAAAAATCAAGCTAGAGTATTAACGACGTCTCTACAAGGTTATCTCGAGTTACAAAAATGTTAGTGATGGGACATATCGACAAATGTCATATTAAATTAAAACAAATTTTTTAACATATTTAACTAATTTTTTTTCTAACTAATTTTTAACATTTAAGTCAAGTTATACGTTTTTCTAAATGTTCACTAAACAAAAAACATTTCATTCTTAAATAATCAAACGTTGGAAATCAATCACCGGTATTTTTTTGGGTATTCATAGCACCGTTGCTCTAGAAGAGATGCCCACCGCCCTCTAGCGAGAGGAAAAAACCACTGAAGAACACTGATGATAATGACTACGACTTAGGTTGTACACCCTTGACATGAATTTTAAATTTTACTGTCTTTAAATTTAAATTATAATTGACATTTTTATGAATAAAGATATGAAGAAAAATTGGGTGCATTTTTTTATATAATTTTTTCGAAAACTTATCGATACATCTATGTGAACCGTACGAAACATACCCAGCACTAGTCACATTCGTTTGATAGATGTCATTCTAATCAAGCTATATTGGATAGACTATAATGACAACTAAATGTGTTTCGTCATTTGTTAAGTCCTCACTGCAGAAGCATAACCTGCCATTATGTTGGCCTGATAATGGCTTATTTGTCCCTCAACCACTTTTTACAACATTGATATTCTATGTGTACCTACCTAGGGTTGCTGGCTTTAGCCAGACATGTTTATTCTTTATGGACTTGTCCGTCCGTTTTTTTATGTTCAGCTACCGATTCGAATATGATAGTTCTCACTCCTGAACTGTAAAATGTCCGGGCAAATGAAGCACCGAGTCCGGCTTTTTTGTTTTTGGACCTAGCAACCCTACGTGTACCAAAAAAATATACAGGGTGTCCCATAAATCAACGTCAAGCTGGAACTTGGTGTTGAGGCTAGTTGTGCTGGTTATCAGAAAAATATAAAAAAAATCTATTTGGTATTGTTTCAAAATAATAGGTATTTAAAAAAAATACAAATTCTACTCCCGGTGACGGTCTCTTTACTCATGTTGCCACAAATCTTCACTTTTTCCAAAATTTTTTTTGTTATGTAATCCTGAATAATGCTTCTCTAAATCGTTATCAAAATTATAAGACCAGGCTGCAGCTTGGTTGAAAAAAATACATTTTTTCCAAAAAAAAACAGAACAAAAGAGGTTTTTGGAAAAAGTAAAGATTTGTGGCTAAATGAGTAAAAAGACCGTCACCAGGAGTAGAAGTTTTTGATTACTTTTAAATGCCTATTATTTTGAAAAAAATCGACATCGTTTTTTTTTTTCTGATAACCAGCACAACTTGCCTCAATACCCAGTTCCGGCTTGACATTGATTTGTGGGACACCCTGTATAAATAAGTAGTTGACATACATGAATATACCTTTATCAAAAATAGCAAATATAAGTGCAACAATCTATGTTAGTATAATTTAACTAATTTATAATATCAAGTTAATCAATAAATTAATATGCAATACCATATAGGTAGCTTAGAGTATTTTAAACATGAACAGCAAAAAATATTGATTTTAAACACAATTCAATTTTAGAGCATTTATTTCTAATATGATAACCATACTACGGTAATACTATCATAACCAAACTACATACTATTTGTATAAAGTAAAATATCAAATAACACAATGTTATTTGTAATTTGAGCAATAAACTACAGTAATGAGAGTGCTTACTTCTCTTTTGCCTGCTATTGCTTTATTATGAGAGAATAATGTTTACTGATTTCGTTTATAATTACTTTTACTTGGGAATGTTGGCTCTGATTTTCACCACATTTAATCCATGGTGTAATTTAGGTTTTTTTGCTTTGCATTTTCTGTCATGATATTCAGGGTGGAAATGATGAGTGATCTCACTCTATTATTTCTAAGCTATACAAGATATCAAAAACTTCTTATTACTGATCCTGAAAGTGCTTCATGAGCTCTTTCAAACTATATCAATAGGTTACAGAATAAACTGAAATTATCCAAAAATTCAATGTTTCCAGCTTACATAGATTTGGTACAGGCACATAATTATTAAAAAAACCTTTTGGGGAGTTTTGATATGTTACGTTCACCTCCTAACTAGTCCAACAAAAGTACGAAGTCAAAAATTGTGGTCCAAGAATTTCCCTCTGCAGCATGACTGGATTAATTTATAGGTCTATTGTTTGAATCGTAATATTTTATTACCTAGTTATGCCAGATTTCGATAAGGGCATCAAGCGAGTCTCGATTGAGACGATCTACTTATTACGTAGTTATCACATGAGTGTGTTATTTGATCTCTTGCTCTCATAGATTGTAGTGAAGAGTTTAGATAATGCCGAATTATTTATTTATCGATAAGGCCCAAAGTTGAATTTTGTGACACGCACGACACACAGGGCAAGGTTACTCAAAGGTTTATAACGTTTTGTTTGAAAAAGGAAATCGTTTATAATTAAATTTCTTTACGAATGGAACAAAACAACGGAAAGATACGAGTAGGTCAAATTCAAATCTAAAAAATTAAGATGTAGCGCTGACAATATTGTAGCACATTTATTTTGATACTAGTAGTATAATCAAAAAATATTAACTCCTGCAGCAGCAGTTTCAGATAAATAGTTAGGAATCTTATGAACTCGCTTAACTAACAGTTATATTTAGTTAGGTCGACATAAAATCTGAATCTAGAGTAAGTACAAGTAGAGCTACAGAGCTCCTTAGTAAATATTTATTACCTGGAATAAATCGTAGAATTTAAATTAAAACTCATCCCATTTTTTAACGTTGGGTAATGCTTTGCGCATACTGCGGTCGATGGGTTATGTGGGACTCTCCGGGTCTGGGTTAGGCGGGGCCTGCCCACTAAAACCCAACGGTGTCCACCGGAGCCCAAAGAAACGGAGCCCGAGTTATTGTCTTAGTTCGGACATTCATCCGCAGCACCGCCTCAGGCTAGAGGCTCGCTCACGAGCCACTCCAGCTCTCTCCACGTGGTCCTGGTACACAGGACCCCCGGCCCGCCGTAGCAGCTTACGGTGCTCAGTCAGCTGTGCTGATCAGAGAAGTACCGAGAGAGGCCCTCCAAAGAATGGGGCCGGGCAAAGGCCCCGCTAACCCCCACCTCTAGGGGTTTTTAAAGATATCCCTTGTATCGTGAACTGGGCAAATACCTCGACGGCCACCCAGTCAGCTCTGTGATCTAGATATGTACTCGTATTAAACAAGTTGGCTTTGTGCTTCTAAATGTTAAATAAGTGGTAATTTAGATAGGTTTTGCAATTAAAAGCTGCCCAAATATACAACAACCATTATCATCTACGAATAGAACTAAGAAAAAACATCATTGGATGCATAGCTCCAACACTAAATGCAAAAGTGGAAACAACAACTTAATGACTGTTTGGTTTGATTTCAGATTCTGCACAAAAAACCATGGTACAAATACATAACCGTCGAGCCGACGATGTTCTTCTATATGATGGCCTTTATGATAACGAGCGTGATAGAACAGACCTTTTACGTTTTCCGGGCATGCAATGTCAATCATGGTTACAGCGAGGAAATATGTTACGATATCAGCAAGTATAGCGATATAAACAACGAGGTTCAAGTAAGTAGGCAGAGTATTTGGACACTAATTTTCCTTTTGTACAGTTTTTCTTTTTTCAACTAAATTTCCAAGGATATTTTATTCGTTTATTGTTTATTTAATTGAAAATATATTTATTTAAATAGGCGCAGGTTACATTTTGCATTACAACAAAGCAAGATGTTTTAACAATAACAGTGGGCCCCAAACTAAGCAGAGCCTGTATCTTGGTGGCAATGGTGGCCCAGGCGGTGCAGTTCGCGTAAAGTGGCTGGCACAGCGCGGTACAGTTCAGCTATACCTACTTATCTTTATTAGCTAAATGTAGTTGTAAAACACATTTAAACATTTAAAGGAAGGAATAATTCTCACTACTGTTAAAAACATCTAGCCACTGCCATAAATTATTGTGGTGCTAAAGCATGATGATTATCTTACAGTATCTACAAGCTGAATTTAGATAAAATAATGTAATCTGTTTCTCCGTTGTATCTAGTTTATGATAAGAAGACGCGCACTCGTTTGTAAGTAGTTACGAAGAGGTGAATTTCGCAATTAATGCTGATGTATCAAAAACTTTCATTGCAAATACACATTGATGATGATTGATGTACAGTCAGCGTCAAATAGTTCGTCAAAAAGTTTACAACACAACCTGTATGATGACGTGTTGCGAATTTATTTGCTACTGTGGGTGTCACGAACTATTTGACGTTGACTGTACCTACACACTTCTGTAATTCTGATGTTTTTGAACTAAATAAACAATTATTTCTTTCTCACTTTTAGATGACAGTTTCAGTTTTCCACCAATGGAATGGGATCGCCAGCCATGTGGTCCCCCTGTTGTTGGCCTTCTTCATTGGGTCCTACAGCGACAAGCGAGGAAGAAAGTTTATACTCCTTGCCGGACTCATCGGAAAGCTTTATTTTTCAGCAATGATTACATTAATTACTACAAAAGGTGAGTCCAAAACTGTATACTACATGATGAGATCAATTTATGTTTTCAGCTAAAGATGCTCAACGAGCATGGCCTTGCATCTTCACATTTTAAATTAGTTAATCAATGATTGCTGTTCACTAGACGTAGTTTAATATCAATACATAATCATTTGTGGGGCAAATTAATTCTTGCAATACATTCTATACCTACCTACTTATTAAATAACAAGGAATTTGTTGATCGTGGGAAAACTGATCGTCTCACAAGGCTTAAACCGACACATATTACATTTCACTTTAACGAGCACTTGGGTACATAGCAGTGTAACATTACTAAATCTGACAAAATATGGGTAAACAACTCTCGTATCGGGTTAAGCTTATGAAATGTAAACGGACACAACTACTACCGAAAAGTCAGCGGTATAATACTAGGTGATAAAATTTTAAATAATCCCTACTAATAAATATTATAAATGCGAAAGTATATCTGTCTGTCTGTTACGCTTTCACACCTAAACCACTGAACCGAATTTGATGTGGTATACCGGGATACCGCCCCTATTGGTCATAACACACTGGTTAAATAAATGGACAATTCAACACAAAAAAAATACTTTCTCAAATTGAACCAGTAGTTCCTGAGATTAGCGCGTTCAACTAAACACAAACTCTTCAGCTTTATATTATTAGTTTAAATAATAGTACAGGGTGAATTTGCAATCATCAGTGTCAAAACTTTTAGGAGCGACTCAGAAACTCAGAATCAGTAACTTAATCGATTTACGTAAATAAAACAATCATTTTTTTTTTCATGTTTAATTTGCGCGCCGTTTCAAAATTGGCTTACGTGGATAATTTACTTCGTTCATAGAAAAATACGTCAGGTACATACAGTTAACTGCCAAGTTAGCTACTTAATAATGATGCGCGAAAATAAGCCTTAGGTACCTATCCTTTAAAACTTAAGATAATATGGGCACCCGCGAATTATATTTTCAATATTTTTTTTTGCGAAAAATACCACGATTAAAAATAAATAAGATAAAGTTAAACCCACTCCTCTGAAGGTTGGAGACTCTACACTCGAAGTTGTCGACAATTATGTATACCTGGGACAAACAGTCCAGTTAGGTAGGTCCAACTTCGAGAAAGAGGTCAATCGTCGAATCCAACTCGGATGGGCAGCGTTCGGGAAGCTTCGCCATATACTCATGTCCGAAATACCGCAGTGTCTCAAGACGAAAGTCTTCGAGCAGTGTGTGTTGCCAGTGTTGACATGGGCCTCNATGTTCCGAAGATTTCCGAAATGCGACACTTGGTGATAACATAGCTTATATGTTGCATTACATAATACAAAAGTTAATTTCTTAAGAAAGCTTGAGAATAACGAATAAAATAAAAATAAATGTTGAGCTCCATACAAAAAAAAAGGAAATTGTCAATAACTTATTAAATAATAACTTTATCAAGAAACGTTACATAACATAAAATATTCCTTTTTGGTAAAGGAACACATTGGCATATTTATTTTTTCAAAATTCGGCACTTGATTTTTGAGCGACGCTAAGTCTATGAAGCTCTAATATCAGCCCACCGTGCGCCGTTTGAGCTGGCCGTCTCGACAGGACTTCGCGGGCCCGTAAGTAATCGGCCAGTAGCCCTCGAAGGTACTGAGGCACTCTGTGATGTTGAAGTGCCTCGAGTATGGTGGAATGAGGGATGGTATTGAAAGCGTTGGCTATATCGAATGATACAGTCAACACACCCTCACCCCTCTTCCTAGCCTCTGCAGTGAGGCTTTTTAGCCTCTGAAGGGCATCAACGGTCGACCTGTCATGTAAACCAAAGCAGTAATACCAATGTTACGAAAATGAATTAGTTTCCACAATATCGAAATATGTATGACGATTGAATGTGTAAATCAAAATTAAGCGATGTTTTGAGGTGGTTTGAGTTTTGTTGCATAAAAATAATCTTTAACATTTTTTTTTTTCATTTTTTATCGGGAGTGCTGGGCCCCTGGTCATAGTGGGCCCCTAGGCACTGGCCTAAAGTGCCTTATGGATAATACGGCACTGGCTGCACAATATGTCATACATTTAAATGTCATTTTTTTACGCAGTCGCTAGCGAGCACACCTAACGTAAACTCATGGTAGGCACACGGATCGTCGTTGTAAAGTGTTAGGTAACATGGAATAAATTACCCATAATTTGTTGTTGTCTCATCGACTAAGTATATGAAATGTTCCTTCCCAGATCTTTACGTGCTAGCCTTACGTGAAAACAAATGAGTTCAGGTACCGATTACATATTATGACAGTAAATAATAAATAAGTATAGTGATCGGTTAATATTTTATCAAAACTTATCAAACATGTTCTAATCTGACAAACATTTTGAAATAGCATTAAAATCTAAATGTTTGTATATGTTACAGGAAATGTATGAAATCCGTCATTGTATACAATTCCTAGGATTTGTGTATAAGTCCTAAAATCACCCGGAAATGTGTGATGTAAATTATATTAGGCACATTTCCTAGGAAATTTACACATTTCCTAAACAGCAATCGGAAATGTAATTAAGATTTATTTTTTTCTCCGAAACTTAAATGGCGCTACCGCGCCGCGGCCGCTGTGTATGTGTAAGGTCGCAAGTCTAACCTTACCTAACCGAGACTTTGTTATCCAGCTACAGGAGTACTAAAACCTTCATGCCAATAATAGTTTAATAAAAGAGATGTTAAAATAAGGGTTTTCCAATACTTCAGCGTATGCGTGATGCCAAAAGAAAGGTATGCCAATAGGAATTTTTTTTTCAGCCAAGGTATATAATGCGAAAACAACTTTCAGGCTAAACAATATTATTATAGTTGTGAGTTAAAAGTACCTATCGGCCAATGTGGTTTGGCTAATGGAAATTTTAGGCGTACTTACTGAGGGGCACCCGATCACAAGACCGCGCTTGTGCCGCTTAGTTTTATACATTTCCTAATACAATATTATAAATCTATAAAATTCCTAGGAAAAGTATACATGTCCTAGGATATGTGCGTATTAAAAAATCTCTGATGCAATATTTTATACATTTCCTAAATAGCTTCGGAATTGTATGCATTTCCTAGGAATAGTATACAATTCCTAGAATTCATACATTTCCTGTAACATATACATATATAAAATAAAAACATATTTTTTGTAAACGTAACACGTAACGTAACAGTAATATAAAATTTAGAACCTACTCGTACGTCAAGCACGGCCACAGATGAAACGCAAATGTTCGCGCTGTAGCAATTTATTACGCGAAACCAAATCGACGTTACTAGGCAATACGTTTCTGTACACGCCTGACAAGCGTTACATGTATACAATGTATCTAATTTGTTAGGTGCTAACAGAGTTTTCCTGAATTTTATGGCTTTCTTATCGATGTTTTCTTTCCTCAAGAGCCACAAGTACTATCCAAAGAGGCTTCTTTTTTATTTCAAAACGTATATTCTCCCTAATCGAAAACACAATAGGTTACAATTGTTACAGATATGGCGTTCGACATATGATCCGAGTTACAATACAAAACAAGGCTTTTCTTTCCTCAAGATCCACAAGTACTATTCAAAGAGGCTTCTTTTTTATTTAAAAACGTATATTCTCCCTACTCAAAAACACAATAGGTTACAATTGTTACAGATATGGCGTTCGACATATGATCTGAGTTACAATACAAAACAACGCTACTAACGTGTTGCAGATAGCATCAGTTGTATGCTAAATCGTGCGCTTGCGCCGTATCTGTTCATTTTACATAGTTTCAATCTCTCGTTTTGTCATGTAGATGCTAGTCATTTTGTCTCCATTGTTCCACATCGGGCTATTTATTCACGAACTACCGATGACACGGAACACATGACTATTGACTTCGGTTTCTTTTGAATGGGAGCCATTTATGTTGTTTATCGCTTCATCGATAGGTCTGGTAGGTACCTTATTGCTAGTTAAAGTGCCTTAATGCTGTCTTAACAATAGCGAAAATTTAGTGTAACTACAGTAATTTTAATTTACTTAATCAACGGTAACAAGCAATCCCAAACACTGCTCACTGATTAAAGAGCTCTTTGGTATATCATTGAGATATAGATAAGAGTACTAAATTCCAGACAATTGTTGTAGACTCAAAGTTAGTTAGTCCTTCTTCGTTTGCGAGATCAGTTGAATTCCTATAAGTACCTATTACTGCGTAAATTAATTTATACATAATTATACTGACTTGTGCAGTCTACTTTACGCCGAAAATAAATTGTACCTTCAAAGTACCTACTTACTGTACTAATTAATATTTTATGTTCACTAATTTAATTCATCATCTTCATGTTCTGAAACCACATGGACATTGGACATTACCCAATCCAAATAAGTTAACTTCAAAACACCTCTCGAATGAAACGAAATGAAAATGATTTTTGTAAAGGAAAAACAGTAGGTACCTACACAGTAAATACGATTTCCATTATACGAGTACCGTTTACTTTACTGTTCTTTAATAGGTAATTGTCACAAAGCTCAACACCTAGTTATTTGATATTAATTTCAACAATCTTCACGCGTTCTCGAGTAAAGTTTAATTTGAGTTAGGTTAGACGACGGGTAACAGCGAACCTGATTTTTTTCATTTTATGGAATAAATTTGTAGTTATCACAAGTATGATGGCTAAACACTGTGGCTTTTAATGCAGTTTTAATAAGATGCATTTTGTGCAAATGTAGGTATAGTGTGAACCTCACTTACGTGTATACTGTGGCGCACTTAAAAACGTACGAAGTTGCGGACAAGGCTAGCTAGTGCAAAATAAATATGGATGGACCGAGAAATTGTTTTAAAGTGTAAAATAAATTGCGCCCATTCCTTCCCCTGTCCAAACTTTTGAATAAGTAATTTAATTTAGAGTTTTGATTAATATTCAGGTGGAAACAGAAGAACGCTTACGTACTACTTACTCCTTTCAACTTCTAGGGCC